AGAATGAAAACAGATTCCTTGATTTTTCTCTTCTGGTTGTTATCTTCTCATCCAATGATTTTAATTTTATCATTCCACTCTGCCATCTTAAGTAAGAATATGTTCAGCTAGTTTCGATTTGTCGATGTGTCTTTTCTTTCCTTTCCTTTCCTTCGTCCTTATTGAAAGAGGTCTCTTGGTTTCAGTGAGGACGAAAGAACATAAGTACAATATAATGAAAAGACCCATCGACAAATCGAAACTAGCGGAACATATCCTTACTGAAGATGGACAACATATGGCAGAGTAGAATAATATAAAAATCATTGGAAGAGAAGATAACAACCAGAAGAGAAAAATCAAGGAATCCGATTGCATTCTTCTGAATGGACACAATAGCATTGCTTCCTGTTCAGTTGATATAAATAGAACATGGTATCCACTAGTGAAATCTGAAAATGAAAATGGTAAATTTAAGATCAGTTCATGAAAACATCCTGTAACTCATTTGATTGCCAACGTCACTAATTGTCACTGAGAACTGAGAAGTGTCAAGACGAATACAAATTTGCCATACAAAAATCCATTTTTTATGTTGAAAACGGGAGCAGATTCGTTCCCGAAGATAAGTGAAAATTTGATATTTTTTCTATATACCTTTATTTCTCATCTCCAAATCCCAAATAATCTGGAATAATGAATGTAACACCTCCTCGATTAACTAACAGATAATATAGGTATTGTATTATTATTATAAGAATTTCAGATTTTTCGTATCTCGAAAAGTTAGGAAGTCCTAATTCAAAGGTATAGACGGTTTAGTTAGGTGAGTATAGCGATTAAATACTGAATGAATTTCCTATGACTATTGAAAATTACCTTTCAACAAATTATGCGAGTAGTGCATAACGCAGAACCAACCATACATCGTTAAGTGGGAAATCCAAACCGCTTTTTAAACGATCTTCTACCATTCCATAATTATATTCATAATAATTCTCGAGAAACGAAAAACGTGTTGATTCCATTCTTGTGAATGAGTATTTCCAGGTTTCTATGATATATGATGCCATGCCTGGTATATTCCTATTAATGGTTTTTGCCATGCCTGGTAATCCTGGTATATTCCCATTAATGGTTTTTGGGAAACAGTTGTACCGATTCTGATTTTGTTCACTACCAGAAAAAAAAAGGAATAAGTGATTCAAACAAACTTAATCTCATATATTCACCAACCAGATATTGGCTCAATGAAATATATCTTTAATTCAACAGAAACTGTATTTCCATTCGACGAATTGTTTTGTTGAACCACATTCATCATTGCTTGGAGTTTTACCAAAAGAAAAATGATTCAAAATGAAGATTACTTGCATACATTCAATCATTGTCAATTTTATTGTTCTATTCAATATAACGGGCCATCATTTGAATCCACTTCGAGATTTATTATATAACTATACTCAATACTTTTCTATCTAAATTATCATTTCATCAAATGAAAAAAAATGTAGGAATATCAATGATTGTATATTGACGTCATATTCAAATTCCTAGTTTGCGATAACCATACTTTTCTGTTGATTGGTTTGGATTCGATTGAAATAAATCGTTTGGTACCTCGAATGTGTTGCTTATTTCGTATAATCATAGGTAATAATGGTATCTACTCAATGACTATTTTGGGAATTTTCAAAGGATTTAGTAGGAAAATTTTGAAAAATCATAAATCATAAACCGCATATGCAGTAATGGTTCTGCTTCTTATGTGATATCCAATCGCGTGAATGCAAATACTAGAAGAGACCGTACCTGAAGTTGTATTTGATTGAACGAAAGGAGAATTATCAGGGCATTTTTTTCCATTACCAGTTCAACCAGATGCGAGTTCTCATTTCAATATTTTTGCGCGGCTTGCTCTAAATCATGCTAACTGTACGAACACCACTCCCAAAAAATTTCCCCAGGCCAGCTGGCTTCAGAGATGGAATATATAATCAATACATAATTGTATTATTTGTTTCAGACATTATGTCAGTGCCAGTATATTACAACATACAAGGTGATCCAGAAAAACAGTATTTAAAAGGAATATTCTTAAATAAATTTATGAACATAAAAAGAAAGAAAGAAATACATTTACTTTCCTGGCTATATGCCACGACGAACATTGAATTATATCTATTGGACACACACGATAAGAATTTGAAAACAAAATCTTCTGAAGTAGAGAATTTGCATTATCCTTCATATAAAGATATGCACATAATATCAATATCATTCTGAATATTCAACAGAAAACAACTACTTTCCTGGCTATTTGCCACGGCAAACATTGAATTATATCTGTTGAACATCCAAAAAGAGAGCATGAAAAATGAAAATCCTCTGAAATTGCGAATTGACATTAAATCTCAAATCGGATAAAATAATATGATGTATTATGATATTAAAATATAATTTACCAATATGTTCAGTATTGAAATGTATAGGAGAAGTATTCTTGTATGAACTCTGATCTTGATGAGCTTGGAACTTCCAGAAAAATCATTCGTATCAGTGATATGGGAATTATGTGTCTCACAAACAAGTTATATGACTTTACTCGAATAAACTCATTTCGGATATCAAATCCTCATCAGTAACCTGAAGTCCAGTAAAATTATTCTTTCAGCCATTCTTCATGATATACACAATTTTCATCTTCCTATAATATAACTAAAACTATAACGAACTGAAATATGTTTGGTTGCTATGGTAACGATACAGACAGGCCTCTAATTGATGGAAAATGTTAGGTGTGGAATTTTGAATGTAAAACATCCAATTGATAGGTACTGGTATGGAACTCATGTATAAGTAAATCGACCTATTTTTCCCAATTTCGTATTCATATAGCAGAAAGAATTTGTCAAGATTGGTATGAAGCCTTTTGGGCATTCGCCAATATCTCTATATCCATTCTGTCATTTTCTTCGCAAATTTTGGATCAATCGCTTAATCTCATGTTGATAAATGGTATTTAGTAATGTCGGACTGAATTCGACTTTTTATAGTTCTGCTCCACGCCAGATATATCACTAAATCCAGCAAATATTAGATACAGTCATGGCGGTGACGTCGAATCATTAATCATATATTATCTCTTTATGGTCTCCAAAGCGACAAATGATAAGAAATTCCGGGCTGCATTCCTAATTCCTGGGATAACTGCTTGTTCACTATACAACAGTGAATAGGTATCGTTTTACTATATAGTATAACATTTAATGAGTGTATAGATAATAATTATTATTTACTTTTTGGATGTACCTACTCTCAAGGTGTTTGATATTTTTTCAATTATCGTAGGTACCCACTCGAATTGCTCAATTGAATCAATTCTTGATATCGAAATAATTATCGTCAAAGTGATAGCCACTGTTGAGTTTGATATAATTATCTAAGCAAATGAAATATTTTTTGATGCACAGTTTAAATCAATTTATTTTCTACTAGTTAATAAGTACGCTTGGAATTTTTCTTCTGCTACAATGCAAAACCTCGTGTTATAAGAACCAAGTGAAAATATTGATGCTCTCCAGAATGATGAATGAATAATATTGAATGAATGAATTGACGTGCTAATTCCGAACTGATTATCTTTTTGAGCCTGAAAATAACGTGCTTATTTCGCTAATTTGATGCCAATTTGGGCCTAGAATTTTTTTAAATGTTTTGTTCCGTACCTCTGGGAAATAGAAGACGAATCGAAAATTTCAAAACGGAATATTTCTCTAGAATTTCACTTTTCATGACCCAAAATGACTTGCTAATTTCAAATCTGTGCCATTTCTAGCCCTAGTCCCAACATTTCTGGAATTATATTTCTTAGATTTCTCAGCTTGGACCTAGAAAAACTTGAAATATGTATTTTTCGAACTACCCTGTATGCTGTTTTACATGCAACGATTTTGCAATTGATTTTGAGAATTCTCATATATCATATCTCTACAGGACGACAATCTCGACGACACGACCTCTTGAATTCAATTCATTATTTAAAATCTGAATCTGAATTCAAATATAAAATGGAAACATTTATGAACAAATAAAAAAATCTTCTGTGTCCCTTTCAGTGCTTTCGTAGATCTGAGTGCGTCAGTTATTACCAGGACTGATGGAATGGTAAAGGTTAGTTTTTTCGAGGTATTTCGACTGAAATTCAAATATTTCACATTCAACATTTCCTTCTTTTTGGCACCATGAAACTTCAAAATTGTCAAATATGTTTCAGAGCTCCTCTATAGAATGTGGTCTAAAAACTTATTGTGAGCAAAAATGTCCAGGTAATCAAATTATTTGAATGATTTCATTGGTAACATTTTGTTTTCCTGTACGCATCTGTAATAACTTGCCTAGTTTCCAATATACAATGGTTTCAGAAAGTTTCAGAAAAATTATTTTTCTCAACAACTACTCAAAAACCTTCTGTTTTTCCTGAGGGTGCATGAATCAATTGATTTATTGAATTTCAAAGGTCATTGGTCCGAAATTTTCATTAGAAATCAATAAATTGCTATTCATACCAAACATCAGGGTGAAAATTATGGGAAGTGGAATTGGATATCATTCAAAATTTCTCCTTTCTTGATGACAACAATTCTGGGAGATAACTGAATAAGTACAGTAAGAAGTTCATGCAACTATCTATATGATCACCCATCAGGAGTAGCAAAGTTCCCTTCCTACGATTATAACATTGCCCTGCTCCCATTATTAGATGCACTCACTAGCGGTAGCAGAGTCAGATAGGTACTACAGAAGCATCGTCTAATAGCAATATACAGATGCACTCGCTAGTGGCAGCAAGGTTCTATATCTAATAATCGCAGGTGGGTTATAATCAGCAAAGTCGACTTCATAATCACAGTTGATAACTCGCTTGTCCCCTATGCTATCAGAGTTTCTTGCTGGGGTTATTCGATTCCTGACTATGGTTAATAGGAATTTTCCTCAGTGCACATCACAGGAAAACTTACCTCAGAGGTACAACTGGTAGCCCCGGAGCTCAAAGCGGGCGACAGCACAGGTCCCTCATAGCCAGGCGAGGCGTTCCCCTGCGCAGGACGGTACTGCGCACGCGCGCCGCTGGTACCGTTGGTATCGTTGGTACCGTTGGTAACCGTCGGTGCGCTCTGCGTCCGCAGCTCGGGCGCCTGGGACGACTCGCTCAGGTACTGCTTCACCTGGTCCCTCGCTTTTTGCATCACGTGGTACCTGATTGAGATGCGTCCATTCAGGACCTACTCTATCTGAGATAAGAGTAGGCCCTGTTCCATTGCAATATCGAAAAATGATCTTTCCATACAGCACAGTTTTGTTTCATGGCGGAACGTAGATGAAATATTCCGGGAATATTGCAGGAATATCTGAATGTCCGACACAAAATATGCCACATATAATGTTGCAGAAATATTTCTGTGATATAATCATGCAACATTGATGCAGAAATAGTACGAAATATTGAAATAATTTGATAAAACTGATAACAATTCATAGATTTTTAGATACCTACCTGAAATAATCAATACTTTTTTATTCAGCTACAATATTTTAATCAAAATTCTGTAGCTCAACTGATTTTGTCGACGGTAGACTAACATAAACCTTCATTTTCGGAAAGTAGGCAATTTTAATGTAGATATTGGATGTGATAATTCGAACAATGTGTATAAAAATACGATATTTCTTGCAATATTTCTGAAAGATTGTAAATGCACCTGCAACATTGCAATATTCCCAGACAGCACCAATATTGTAATATTATCTGAATATGCCAATGGGAATTCTTCAAATATTCATAGAATGCGTCCAAGTGAATATTCTATGGATCTCTAGATTATATTCTAGGAATATTCGGATAATACTCGGAAAATATCAAGGATAATCCAGGAATACGAATAAATTATTGTTTCTGGAAATTCATTCTTAAATAAAAAAAAAGTGATCCAAGATGGGCTCGAACCCGTGACTAGGCGTTACCATAATATCGGTGGTAACGGACTAGGGCAAAGCGTCAACCACTAGACTAGTAATCCAATTTGAAATATATGATAGGTATACATAACAATTTTTGAGGGAGCGTGGATAGTAAACACTTTGTTCAAAAATCTCGTTACATATAATAAATGTTTGGAACTCACATATCTAAAATAGTGATTGGTGTTCACACTATACCATTTCATTGAAAATATGGAAATATTCATGGAATAATTCATGAATATACACACACCAATATGTTGGGAATAATCCTGGAACATTCATACCTGTATATTCCCCGAACGATCAATTCAACTAGAATATTCTGAGAAAATTCACTTTAGCATAATCCTGCTGGAATTTTTTTTGTTTATCATTTTGGAATTTTATTGAAATATTCCTTGGATGTTCCAGAGGCATGTATACAGGGTGTTTTCGAAATTGGGACGAATAATAAAATGGGGTGTTCTATGAGACATAATGACAAGATAAATCACAAGAAAAAATTGTTTTGAAAGCTTTTCACTTCGCTCCCACCATAACTATATCTTTAAACTATTATTGAACGTCCGGCAACATTGCAATGCCATTGATACTGCCTGTGCTTGTGATCTCGCCGAAAGCAAATGCTTGGGTTGGTTATTAACCTCTGATCAGTGATTTACAAACATTTTAGGCGAATTTTGATGCTCAATATCTTCCAAAATATTTTTTTCTCGACAAAATTGTATTCTTTCATCTCGTTTTGTTTTTTCGTCTCCTATCATCCATTTCATTGATCGCCCCAATTTCGGAAACACCCTGTATATTCTAGGAATATCCAGTGCTGTCTGGATTGTGGCGATATTCCATGAATATTTTGCGCTGTGTGGAATGGTACCTGGTCGGGTTCTCGAGCTCGGTCTGGACGTGCAGCACCTGAGGCGGTACTTCGGCGATGCTGTTCAGCGGTACCTTGACGGGTGTCGCAGAAGGGATGTTCATCGGGTGAGGTTGGAGACGCTGCTGCTGCTGCAGCTGCAAAGCTTGGTCGCGCATCAGCTGCAGCTTCAGTTGCGTCCTCGAAGCTGGGTTGATGGTTTTCAGGTTCGGAGCGCTGGAAGTTTGGTTCGAGGTTAGATTCATCAATGGGAGCGCGAGATTTGGATTGCCCGTCATATCGACCCATGATTATGACGTGGACAGATGGCAGTTCAGAGGGCAATTCTGTAACGCTCAACGACATCGTTAGCGGACGATAATCGTTACGAAACGATATTTGTTATTCTGTAGCTAACGATTGTCGTACCTGTACGACAAAACTTATCGTTTGAAGACGACGTCGGCTGAGGTGTCTTTGGAGGTATATTTTTGTAGTTACGTGAAGGAGACATAAAAAATAATAAAGAAAGTGGCAGAGAGTGGTGATAGTAGAGAGATAATTTGATTACTGATTATTGCAAAATAAATAACCGGGTATTAGTAGAGCTAGTTCTAGAAGAGATAGCACGCAGATAATAAATTCTTCATTGTTTCTAGTGATTGAATTGGTACATTACATTGTTATATCATGTAATATCATCAATGACAATTCAGACAACAACATATAGACAGCTACTCAGAATACTCAGGGATATGAGTAATCCATTTGAGTTACCAGATGTGCTAATTCGTCAGATATGTACCTATAAGATTGAGCAAAAGATGCAGCACGACAAGATTCATGTAATGAAATATCAAGATTTATATTGCCAGCAGATGAAAATACGAGAACACTCCTATCATAAGACGAGTGAGATTAGAAAGATGGGGAATGTTTCTTATAGTAGTAGTATAATATATACTTCGTTGGCATGTATGCATGTATACATACCAAATGGCCATCGACCTTACGAGAGGTCCTTCAGCCCATGTGTGTTCTATGTGGGCTTTGTTACTAACTCCATACGCCCCCTTAGGAGCAGAACCTTTCCATTGGAACGCAATAGCGAATCGTGCGGTATAATCTCCGGGGCAACAAAAATTAGAATTTCTTTAGTTTTTTCTCAATTGACTCGACCGTTACTTGATTGAAATCCATAGCAAATGTAAAAACTTCACTAACGATGAGATTTCCACAAAATTATCAAACACACGACATGTTTCGCTAGGTGATATACTGGTACGTACGATCGTACCAGTATATCACATGACGAAGCTATATTTCTGAAATTTTGAACTTCGACTATGCTAGACTAGAGGGCACTATCTCACATTTTGAGAATTTTTTTCCATCTTCCGGTTATCCTTGAGATTACATCAACTTTCGATTTTCAAATGGAACACCCTGTAGAAACCGGTTAGGGATTATTATAGCAAATTCAACAATACCGGGTTCGATTGGATTAATTCAAATGATTAATAAGATATTCGCGTTCGAAGTTTCCATAAGATCAATGAGTGTGACAGAGAAAGTAGTTTCGATGTTGCGCCGTCACACCCATTCAGCATATGGAAACTTCGAACGCGAATATCTCCGTAATCGTTTGGAAAAATCCAATCAAACCCGGTATTGTTGAACTCGTTATAATGATTCCTAACCGATTATGGAATAAAATACAGGGTGTTCCATTGGAAAATCGAAAGTTGATGTCATTTCCAGGAAAACCGAAAGATGCAAAAAAATCCTTAAATGTGAGAAAGTGCCCTCTAGTGAGCATGATCGATGACCCAAATTTCAGAAATAAAGCTAGAAAACCAAAGGAGAAATGGAGGGTACACCATCATGAGTCTGTTTCACCCGTTATACATTGGCGTAGTATAGAATCATAAACAATGTTGATTCATGACAACAAGGTTTTTGGACGAAATCTGTAGTTTGAATGGTGATCATAATATTTGTACCCGAATCCATTTTTCTTATATCAATGTCTTTACGATGAACTTGAACTATTATATAAATAATGCAGTTTATAAAAAGGTTGAGTAAAAACATGAAACGGAATCGGCAAGGGATCAAATATGCAGATTATGAAAAGAGATGTCATTTATTATCGAAATTTTGTTATCTGATTGAAAAATAAGATTTGTTGGTATCTAAAAAATACAATTGCATTTCTAAGAGAAAATGAATAATTGAGAGGCTTTTGAATTCAAGTTTATTTGAAAGTAGCTTCGTGTACAGAAGAATAAGCAATTTCACTTTATATATTGAGGTCACATCCATAAGTTTATCACATGCTCACATGTTTTGTTGCCACTGATTGTGCCACTGGTTAAAAGCAATAAAGAGTATGACGTACTTTGACGTTCAATAAATTAAACTTGAAATATTCTGTATGTATCCATTTGTAAAAGAAAATTGATACCTACCAATAAAAATATCATTCCCAATGTAGTCAATTTTCCACAAATGATTTCAAGAATAATTTCGCAAAAATAATCGATAATAATTGATTTTTTTTCATTAATTCAGAATGGATTTCACGAGGCGCCAATGGTTGCAAGATATCGGATCTCACTTCGAATCGAAGAAAATAAAATTAATCTTGCCACCCAATGGGCTTCCTCTACAATACACTGACGCATTCGGTGGGAAAAATTTGAAGATGTCGCCTCCAAGATGGCGAATGTTCACCATTTCTTTACCGATTTATCTGAAAAACATAGCCGATTATTTCGTAGCTATTTCTACTATGAACATTATGGGGCGACACAAAATCCGAAAATGGGATATGCTGTCCTATTTTTTTTTCCCTGAAGTCATCAACCTACGCCCATGTTTGAGGTGTGTGCAGACCTGAATTGGTTTTTACATTCACCTGTTCTCAGAAGACATCAATAACTCAAATAACTGACTACCTTGACCTACATTTTTCCCTGAAATTGGTCCAATGGAGTCATAGTTCTCGTTCTCTGGATTTGAGAGCTACTGAAAAAACTCAGAAAAACCAAACCTGAATCACCGAAGAATGTTTTTCTTGAAGTGGTTCAGTCGATAGGTACCTATTTGCTTTTTAGTCATTTCAGTATCAATGGTTTTGTCTCATTCATTTTTACGTTGAAAGCAGTGGCGTATGTGAATCAACTCGTTGTTTTTAAATTCGAATTTTTTAAATGATCAAAGTAAAAGTGACATAAATATGTGTTTCAACTATTAAACAACTTCAATTTGGCCACACCCAAATGATTAATAACACTCGTTTTATAATCGGAAAGTTAAGATTACAATTATTATCTACTTCAAAATAAAAAAGCAATGATATAAACCCTTAAATACTCCAACTAGTTTTCAGTATTGTGTAATATTTAATACTTTGAAATAATATATAGTATCTCTGAAACAATCATCATGTAGCATACCATAACTTTCAGGAAACCATCGATTTTACAAATGGTACACCCTGTTTCATGGAACAAGTTTCTAAATGTCTCAAAACTTTATTGAAGATGAAAATTGTCTTCCTTCATAATGTATGGTTCGTAAGTCATAAGGAGATGTTTTTTTTATGGATACATTTTCATTCACTCTTATGGGAAAATGAAAATAGAACTTTCAACTTCATATTATGTGGTGTAATGTTATGAAATCCCTGATCACATTACGTCATTGGTAAATTCAGGAGTCTTGATACAGAATCCGAATAAATCTTCACCTCTAATACTGACGGTCAAGTTGATGTCTGTTGAACATTTTCAGGGATTTTAGTAAGGTGTTTATTTTGGCTTACATTCCTTTGCATTCTAAATTTAAATCTTATGTTTATGGAAATTTTTTATAATACGTGAATAAAAAACAATCCACAAAGTAAATAGTTGAAATTGATAGTTTCCCAGCTAAAAGAAATCAGAGTAAAAATTTTTAAAAATCGATAGACTGTTTTTTCTTTAGTCTAACATATTATGAAATTGTTGGCAAACTAGATTGTATTATACTATTTCATTCATTCATGATACTACCATGGTGCTTACTCATGCATACCAGTTTTACATACATTATGAATGAAGCATTTCGTTGCTATAATATGACTAAGAATCTCATTAAACAGAATGACTGCTGGATCAAAAATTCTACAAGAAAGACCAAATGAAATGAATCGACAGTTATTAACTTTTTCCATTGAATCCATTTGATATGAAATGAAATGAATCGACAGTTATTAACTTTTTCCATTGAATCCATTTGATATTTTCCATCTGACTTCGGAAACTTTCCAGTGTGTTTTCTAAATATATGTTCCAGAAGAAAGTTTTCTAGCTATTGTAAGCATATTTAACTTCCTCTATCCTGATCGAAATTATGAAATTATTTATCGTCTGTTTTAATGCATATGAAAAGTTCATAAGTTCCTGTAAAAAATGTCACTTTTTTATCATGAAGCCTCTCGGAATAATTTAGCTAGTTGAAACGGCCTTATTCATTATAAACTGTCGAGTGATGGATCAAAAGAAGAAGGGGTGATAAGGAAGGGTCATTTCCAATCAAACAAACCGTATATGTGGTTATCTCCCTAAAATCATGTAGTTTGTCTACTGAGAAAACATTTTTTTCTTTTACAAAATTTATCCGCCCGAATGCACCTTCTCCAAGAAATAACTTTTATGACCTGTGTTACTTCGTATCAATTAAGAAAAATGGTGTTTTCCTCAAGTTTTGTTGACTGAAATAATTCAGTTGATTTTTCAATTCCGCTTGAAAAGTACCCCACAAAGTTCACCAACTTCATCTGAAAAAATTGCCCTTCCGAAATGGTATAACATATGGGATTATTCGAAACAACCTTTTTGTTATTAATATTTTTAAATTGGTCGCGTTTTTAGGAAAAATTCAATAACTTTTGAACCATCAACAATGGTATAACCACATATACAGTTAGTTTGATCTATGACTTATATTGTAACAAGAAATCAAATTTTTCCCAACTGCAAATTACCGGCGAGGGAAAGTAATATTACTACATATTGTAAATATAACAATCTGCTTGAAATGTTGAGTACTTTTTGTATAAACTGTAAAATATTTTGAATGTCAGTAGGTATCCTATCAGTATCCTATTATGACTTTTCCATTCATAAATATCTGGTTTGAGTTTGAATCTTTTGTTATTCGCAGAACTTTTTTATTTATATACCTACTTAATTTGTTATATTAGGAAACACGTTCTATCTAACAACTGTCCAAATTTCAATTTTGGCAATATATCAAAAATTATTAGATTTGAACTTGTATCTAAAAATAGAGATGTTAAAATAAAAATCTCATTCGCAGAATCTTTTTGTCTAGCTGAGGTACCTATATCGGATCGGAAATTTGTTTACATTTGATTCATGTGTTCCAGACAGGGTTGGGGAAGGGGTAGATATTTTGAAAAACGAGTGTTTTTGAGAAGTGACATCGAATAATGAACCAATCACAAATCAATCGGCCATCAACTTGCTCACCTTTCTGTAACAGGCATTGTTTTCGATGTCAATTCGTAAAACTCTTGATTTTTCGGGGTTCCCAATAAATCGTCAAAATCTATGGCACTTTCAATGTCAAAATCCTCAGAGAGGAGAGCCGACAGATCATAACCTAAATCCATTATTTTTTCTATCACAGTTCAGTTACACGAGTTGTTTCGAGAGGGTTGGTGGCAGGGCCACGGAAGGAGATGCAGGGCCCCCATTCGGACACGACTGATATTATATTTTGTCGAGGCGACGCAAATCCAGCGACGCTGGCGTCAACATCGACTTGCGCTGCCTCTACTCAGCACTCAGTCCGCCGACTGAATTTTGGTTAGGTGGGATCGGACCACCGCGAATAGATGCGGATTCATCTCGGCTCTCGACTGAACCACTGTGCGTGCTCTAGACTCTAGAGTCTAGAGCAATAGCGATAGCGCTCCAAAAATATTGGCGTTAGGCTCCTTGGGTACGGAAGCATAGAAGTGCCACGAGTTTTTTGTTTTTTCAATCGATAGGAATTTCCACATTTACATATATATCCGTTTATTTAGTCATAAAAACTAATACATTGTAGATAAAACACAGAAATATGTCAAACAGCATCACTACATACATACTATACAATAATTTTTTTATGTTCTGGTTCCCACGAAAAGGGATATCCTGTAATGTTCAGATAACATCTTGAGAACCAAAGGAAATAAGGTAGGAATTGGTGTTTTTTCTCGAGGAACACTTCCCTTGGCAAATGTGTTCCAGAGCCTCGCTGTTCGTTGGTTGAACGAGTCTTTGGAAAGAGATGTTCTGCAGGTCTCCAAAGTGACCACGAAGGGGTGCGAAGCCTCAACTCGATGGGACTGCCAAGGGAGGAACAATTGTTGATATTTCAGAAGAGCATCGTCCATGGAAATATCTTTAAAATAGAGCCAGATCGCCAACTTTTCTACGGTGTTCCAGAGAAGTGAGTGAGTTTGTGAGCGAGGCATCACCCACGAGACGAATTGCCTTTTTTTTGGAGAGAATCCTCTTTTTTCAGAGTGATTTTGAAACAATTGAGAGAGTGTGCAATTTTTATTGCAGTTGGCAATTCGTTGAATGCTCTTAAGCCTTGGAAAAATATTGAGTTTTCCATAAATCTTTTGGGGAATGTGAAAATCTCTTCTAGATTTCGTTTCATAGTGGTGATATTCAAAATTATAGTTCAGTTTTTCTCTCAGGTAGTCTGGTAAAGTGCCATTGCTTATTTTGTATATTTTATAAAAATGAGTGCCTGGTACAATGAAAAATCTTTTACTGACAACCATTCTAGTCTGTTCAACAAGTATTTGAATTTTTCTACCCGCTCGATTATTTCACCACCAATTTTTATTTCCCTTTTCTCCCCGAGAAAATTATTATATATTGCTGTTCGACATATTTCGGACAACGAAAAGATAAGCTGACTGCGCTTGTCAAGTTCGTTTGGTTGGTATAGCAGATATTTCTCAAGAACATTTCCCGTGAAAGTATCAAAGAAAAAGTAAAAGGTCGCCGACCTTTCTACGGTGTTCCAACGATATCAAAGTGTTAGTGAGTGTGGCATCACCAACTATAGGGAAATGGCTCTTCTCTGGATGGAATCTAAGAGCATCAGAGTATGTTTGGGTGCTGAACCCCATATGTGAGAACAGTATTCTAGAACAGGTCGTATCTTTGCTTTGTAAATCATGAGAAGCTGTTATGGTGTAAAGTAGCTATCCGCACGGTTGATCTACAGACATAATTTGAAATATTTCTCCATCCTTTAGAACAGACACTTCTGAATCCGAATCTGCCTAATTTTTTGAACTAAGACTTCCTTATTTTTGTCGATTTTGTAAATACCCTGTATAAGTAATGGAAGTTTGCCGGAGAAAAAATATTTGTTCTGATCACTAATTTTCAAATACCGAAACGATTTTTTTTTTCGAACTACCTACCATAATTGAATGAACTAAAGAAATAATTCGTATTCTTGTAAAATGTTTTGGTAAGCACAAAATTTCACAATCCGTATAATTTTTATTTGATCAGCAGAAATCGTTGTGTTCAATTTTGATCGCTTTTGTCGTTAGTTGTTAAATGAATTAATATCTTGAAATTGATAGAGCAAACAAAAAAAACCAGTAGGTATGTCATATTTGCTAAGGCTGCTTTTGTTTGTATTTTTCATCAAGACCGTGTTTTCTCAATACGAATATGAACATGTTGACACGTTAGATGTTGAGGAACAGTGGAATGAATTCAAGGTATAATATATGATTATTAAATGTATCCCATAATTGCTAATTATATTTTCTCCTATTTTTATATTATCTATTTTACTTGATGACCAAAATGTTGTGTGTTCGGGTTTTCACACTATAAATTAATTTTGTTCTTCATTGCAGAGGAAGTTTAATAAAACATATTCAGATTTTCATGATATCATAAAAAGGAAGGCGTGGGAAGAAAATTTGGATAGAATAAAGAAGCATAATGAAGAGGCGGACCAAGGGCTGCATTCTTTTTACATAAAAGAAAATGACTTCACTGATATGGTGAGGTTAACCTAACTAAAATCCTCTTGAATAAATCTCAAAACGAATTTCACAATTTTCCAACGTTTTCAGAACACCCAAAGTTATCTTCAGAAAATGGTGAAGCTGACCAAAAGTAGGCACAGGAAAGTGAATCCTGAGACAGTTGGCGATTTCTATGACAAAGTGATGCATATACCAGAAGAAATCAATTGGGTGAAGAAAGGTTTCAAGACTCCCGTGTACAACCAAGTAGACTGCGGTTCATGTTACGCATTCAGCATAGCCAGTGCCATACAGGCACAAATTTTCAAACAAACCGATAAACTAGTGCCACTAAGGTGAATATATATATAATGATATTTTTAACACAATTTTAGATACCTATAGTACAGGGTGATTCACCATAATTGTCCCCTCCTCTAGCTCACTCATTTTTGAACCGAATTGAAAATATGAAAAATAATCTAAAATGATTTATCAGAATTTTTTTTCTCGTTGCATCAGAAAATACAGGGTGCTCGGAACAAACGAACTACAGAGTACTACTTGATTTTTTCAAATGGAACACCCTGTATTTCATTGTATTTTCAAATTCTTCCTGAAGAGCTGATTTCATCAATACATCACACTTGGGATATAGCGGGAATGATTACAGAGTTATAGGGTGTTCAAAATCGAGATTTTTCAACTTTAGTTTTTTTTTTCGTCGAAACTATTCATTATTGGTCAAAACGGCTTCTATGTCCCCATCTCAACTTTTGATTTACTATCTACTGACATTTAATTGGAACATTTACAGGGTGGTGCAAGATTCAAAATTCTGATCACCCTGTATCTGTTCCAATCATTAAATGTCAGTAGATAGTAAATCTACAGTTGAGATACGGACATGAGAGCCGTTTTGACCGATAATGAATAGTTTCGTCACAAAAAAATCCTAAAGTTGAAAACTCTCGATTTTGAACACCCTATATCTCTGTAATCGTTCCCGCTAGACCCCAAGTGTGATGCATTGATGAAATCAGCTCTTCAGGGAGAATCTAAAGATACAATGAAAAATCATCTAAGATGATATTTCAACTTTTGAAATCGGTTCAAAAATAACTGAGCTAGAGGAGGGGACATTCATGGTGAATCACCCTGTATCATTCACTTATCGATTGATTTCCATTTTGTTCTAATATTTCCAAATTTTGGAGATCTTCAGCCCAATATATTAGAAAATCAACCTATAATTGGAAAGAGAAGCATATCTTTAGAATTTTCCTTCTTTGTCCCCTCTACTTTTAGCTATCATGGACTTCAACCAGAGATTAACTACTGTAGGAATAGGTAATTTGAGTAGAGATCATATTTTTTTGTTGGATAAACTACTTTATATACTAAATAAATTCTACTTGGAAAGGATCTGGCATTTCGTGCTATTTGTTGGCAGCAGATCCTGTCAAACTGAGTGTGATTAGTCGAATTAATTGTCTTTTGTTTTGTCAATGTCAGTTACACCTCATTATAGTAGGATAATACGCAGAGAGACCCTAAATATTAGGTTTGGGTCAGGGGAACACTCTGTATATAAATACAAGATAATATCGATATCATAATCTGTACGATTCTGTATATTTTTAAAATATTCGAAAAGAATATTCTAAGAATATGTCGAATTGAATGTTCATAGAATATTGGTTGAAGGATGAAAATATTCTATGATTAATCCAGAGATATTAATATGAGGATATTTTATTAGAATATTCTGAAAGAAGTATATTTGAACGTCATTCTAGAATATTCCATTTCAGAAGCTCATAGGAACGTATTTTTAGAATGTCATCAGAATATTCGCTATGAACATTCCATGAATGTTCACAATGGTATTTCATGAACATTCTGGAATATTATATCTCAGGAGCTCCTAGGAATGTACGTTCATACTATTGTCAGAATATTCACATGGAACATTCCATGAATATTCGAACATTCTAAGAATATTCTGTGAATATTTCTTAGAATATTCTACAAGATGATATTTGTTTCTCAAATCTTGGAGTGAGTATCGGGAAGGTGTAAGCGGATCGAATAGTTTGATATAGCCATGCAATGACTGTTGGCATTTATGGATTCTTTGTCACTCTGAAAAACGAACACCACCAAATTGCTACGTCACATCAACATCATCTTCAGACGTCATCTTTACGTTACTTCAACATCATTCAAGTACCGTTGTCAATTCTGCTATAAATGACTATAATCTAAGTCATGTTCTTCGATAAAATCACGTCATATCGCCTGACAATCGAAGTTTGGTTCCTGGAATCCTGGTCAAGGCAACCGTTTCGATCTTGATTTTCCTTTCTTGAGACCTGTGAATTGTTTTTTTTTTCAGTGAGCAACAAATCATAGACTGCAGTGTATCTTATGGAAACTATGGATGCGCAGGTGGCTCTCTGAGGAATACTCTTCGCTATCTGGAACACGTAGGCGGACTCATGACATACAAGGATTATCCGTATAAAAAGAAGGTAAACTTATCAACTTCTCTTGTTTGAATTGGTCTTTATCTGATGTTATGGGCTCATCAGAGGAAAGCACAGAGATTTATATTGTATTTGTCCTACCTACTTACAATCAAGTTATATTTTCATCATTCAGTGAAAAGTGTGTTGATATGGAAATTTCATAGTTGATTTTGTTTTTTTTTTATGTCTTGTCATGCAAATAGAGGTAAAAGGGAATTTCAAAACATAAGCCTAATAATTACGGACTAGGCTCATCATTAATAAGGCTAAATACTTTTTGACGATAGTTTTTTCAAATTTAAATTGTACATGATTGGTACCTCAGATACTGTAAAACAATGTTATTCCAGGAAGGTACATATCAAAGGATCTAACAGATTGACAAGAAAACCGATTCAAGTGCCTCCACCAAAATTTTAAAATTCAATATACAATTTTCTTTCATGGCTGCCACTATACCAAGAGAGTCATGAGTCAAAAAACCTATTTAAATACTTCATAAATGTTTGAGTAGAAAGGTATTTGTAGACTTTGAAGATAATTAGTTACCCTGACAGTCATAAATATCCCTCAAAGTATTTGAAATATACGAGACTATTGAAATAGTCATTTCAAACCATTCAATTTCCTTGGTAATATTCTTCGAAATCATTCTATATTTGGATCTGTACTGTTTCAGAGATTCATATGGAATTATCAAATACGGTTTCATAGTATTTGCCAATCTCTGCATATACTTTTTTCTCCACATTATAACAGTTGTTTTTTTTTTTCAGCAACAAAAATGTACCTACGACAAACACATGGCGATAGTGAACATCACTTCCTGGGCAGTGCTGCCAGCAAGAGATGAAAGAGCTCTGGAAGTTGCAGTCGCTAGGATTGGTCCTATAGCTGCGTCAATCAATGCAAGTCCTCACACTTTTCAACTTTATCAGTAAGTTGAATTTTATTTACAGGTTTGGCCTTTAGTAATTGTACGGGGCTATCCACCGAGAAGGCCCACCCCTATATATTTACGTTATTTTTTCAGAAGTTTTACAGGGTGATCCCTAAATGCGTGACAAACCACAAATTGATTTTTCTAAATGGAACACCCTGTTTTTAATATTAATTTCGGGATCAGTTATTCTTCGTGATCACAAAAGTGTATATATATATATTCAATTCATTATCTTCACTTTTTTGACCCCAGAAAAACTTTTTTTTTCAATAATTGGTGATCACTCAATCAGTTAGGGAATCTATTTAAAAATGATGTGATATAAAAGTGTCAAATATATCCTCATTCATGGCTAACACGATATCTGTGTAGAGCCAACACAAAAAATTGTTTTTCTGCGGTCAAAAAAGTGAAGATGATGAAGTGAAAATAGGAGATATCATACTGTATATAGATACGTTTGTGATCACAAAAAATCACAGATTCCGAAAAAAATATAAAAAACTCGGTGTTTCATTAAAAAAAGTCAATTTGTGGTTTGTCACGCTCTTAAGGATAAATATACGGGTGGGCCTTCTCGATGGATAACCCTGTACATAGAATTGTTGCAAGTTTTTGAGTTCAAAACTACGATTTGAGTCAAAAAATCAAAACAAATTGATTTTTCACCTTAATTTTCCCACAGAAAATAGGTTGATATGAGAAAAAAATAATGGCTATACAGGGGGGTTATTACCATTTCAAGGCCAGACCGAGATGAGTGTTTTTTGTAAATATTTGTTAAACCCTTTGATGAAATAACCAAATTTTGTACATACAGTGTGTCTCAATTCCAATAAAAGCACTCCTGTATCTTATGTAATTTTGTAGTTAGGATTCTGAAGGAGCGAGAGATATACACTGCTCGCTAGCAGCCATGGAACCTCCCACAAATTCACTAACTATACATATTTTTCCTGGAAAATTTCCAGTTCTGAAAAATTAAATTTTTTCTCACTCTTCTTACGTAATTATTTAAATAGTATTCTCGACCTTTATTTTCTGGTAAAAAATAGGTTGATATAAGAGAAATAATTGCTGAGATACAAGGTGTCAAGATTGTAATTTTGAAATATATTTTTCGTAATACCTTCAACGTTTTTGAATATGGACACATGAAAATTTCGAAACTGGGGTTTTTAGGTATTAGAAATCATAATTTGGTACCTACTTCAATTCATTTTCTATTGTGGAATGGAAGTGCACTCAATTTGTTTGCTGGTAATGCGTCATTTTTATTGAAAATACCAGACACATTATTTCAACAGACATGGATTCTTCAGTTAGTGAGAATGTTCTTGTTGATTCGAGATGAAATAAACCTCTTCGAGGCCGTTTTTTATATTTTTGTCAAATTTTAAAGAAAATTGTACTGGAAAATGTATTATCTGTATTTTTTTTGTTTTAGCAAAGGCCTGTACGATGATGATTCCTGTAGCTCGAACACTGTGAACCATGCTATGCTGATCGTGGGTTATACGAAGGATGCGTGGATCTTGAAGAATTGGTGGGGAAGACATTGGGGAGAAAACGGCTACATGAGACTGAGAAGAAACAGGAACAGATGTGGCATCGCTAATTACGCAGCATATGCTCTAGTTTGAATGTTGAATGGATAAATGTTATTTTGAATTGAATTATCGTATTCAATAGATAGTTTGTTAATAAACAGTCTTTTTTTTCTCTATTCCTCCTTGGTCACTCAATTTCCCAAAATTGATATTTAGTAGGTATCTGGAAAGTGAAAGAATAAGTGGCAAATTCGAAGGCGAGATTTGGGGATCACGAGTGAGAAACGGTCGTATTGAGTTGTCTATAGAAAATGCAAAATCCGTTTTCAAAGAGGCAAAAATATCGATTCATGTATAGCTTATCCAAAGTCAATTGGACCGTCTTGAGCCACAAGTGCACACAGTTCAAAAGGAACTATAGATATAGTATATCAGGAGAGGTGATGACTTGACCATCAAAAATGAGAAATCCGATTTAGAGCAGGCAAAAATATAAATTCGAGTATCAGGAGAGCAGAAATAAGAAGAGGTGATGAGTTGACAATCAAAAATGAGAAATCCTATTTGAGCAGGCAAAAATATGAATTCGAGTATCAGGAGAGCAGAAATGAGAAGAGGTGATGACTTGACAATCAAAAATGTGAAATCCGATTTAGAGCAGGCAAAAATATAAATTCGAGTATCAGGAGAGCAGAAATAAGAAGAGGTGATGAGTTGACAATCAAAAATGAGAAATCCTATTTGAGCAGGCAAAAATATGAATTTGAGTATCAGGAGAGCAGAAATGAGAAGTGGTGATGACTTGACGATCAAAAATGAGAAATCCGATTTAGAGCAGGCAAAAATATAAATTCGAGTATCAGGAGAGCAGAAATAAGAAGAGGTTGACAATCAAAAGTGAGAAATCCTCTTATTCGAGCAGGCAAAAATATGAATTCGAGTATCAGGAGAGCAGAAATGAGAAGAGGTGATGACTTGACAATCAAAAATGAGAAATCCGATTTAGAGCAGGCAAAAATATAAATTCGAGTATCAGGAGAGCAGAAATGAGAAGAGGTATTGAATTGACCATCGAAAATGCTTCAGATGGGCATAAGGTATCAAGACACGAGAAACGTGTAATCTCATTTCAGAAGAACAAGATCGGTATCAGATGGTATCAGGAAAGCAGAAATCAAAAAGGGTATACGTAGTCATATAATCCTTTTTCGATGCGGCTTCTCTGTTCCACCCACGTTAGAGATACGAATGTATTCTTGGTTGCATAGTAATCTGTCAAGTTGTTTTCAATAATTTATTGTTGTTGAAGAAGCAGAAGAAGAAGCAATGCAACTAACAATTCATTAGAACGCTTGGCGCCCTCTGTGTGTCAAAGCACGAACTGATGAATTGTTTGTTGCATACTCCATAGAATCCTACAAACTCGAAATTGTCCTTTCGAAGATGGTCAAGAGGTGTCAGGAGTGATGGTACAATCAGGTGAGCAGAAACCAGAGATCAGAAAGAAACGAGAAGTGCCTAAATATTTCGAACCATTCCCATTATTTTTTGATGATTATTTTTCGCATGAAAATTTTGGGGAATGAGTTCGGCCAGGGAGTTTTTTATTCTGGTCCACTAATAGCATGCCGTCAGCCCACTATTATCACTTGTGCAGTGATGTAGGCTTTCAAGGATGTATTTCCTTCTTCCTTCCTTTCAGGGACTCTTTTCTAGGAGCGAATGCGTCCATAATGGATCACGTGATTCATTGTGACCAACACAGACCAATCTGTCAATAACGTTTGGGAATAGTTCGAAAGCTTTAGGCTCTCGTGAAACGGAAAAGAAGGATTTCATAAAGATTTGTATGTGCAATTTTTGGGTCTTCCCTAGAAATTCTGAAGTTTTCATACGATTTTGAGGTTCAAAATATTGGTGAACTACTGGATCCAACAATTTGTATACTATACAAGAGGATTCAAATTTGAAGGACCTATGACAAAGTTGGGCCTGAGAAATATTATAATTTTATTGTCCAAGAAAAAAACAACCAATATTTCAATATTTATTTCATTTATTTGAGATGACATTCAACAGTATAAGATTATAGTTTGATACAAATTTGAAAAATACTATGTACTGAAACTTCTGACAATAGTTTCAATTCATCCAATCTCACATATGCATTTGAACAACATTCATGTTCTGAGAGTTGTAATTCAAAAAAATAAAATGTTATCAATAGTATAATCTTCAAGGCTACATAAATCATGTTTTTTTTCACAGCACAGCACAGATCAAAATTTGTGCCTGTAATTTTATGTCACCTCTCAACATCAACTATTGACAACTAATGTCCTCAAGTCCAATGATTGGGAATACAGCACTCATTTTGCAACAATACAAAGACAGTGAAAAAACAAAAAAAATCAAAAATATTAAAGATGTCTTCGCGAATACACATTTTTCCGACCATGATTAGGAGTTCTAGCGCTTGTGCTTTCACCAATTTCATATAATATGTATTATTTTTTATTTCATCAACTCATGGTTCTTCAGATACGAAAGAAAATGAGCATTTTGACAATAAATACAGGGCATTTTATTAATTCCGATTCCAGAAAAACCAGAAACCAGAAGTTCAAACTATTTCAATGTCCTAACTTTCATAAAAATTGCTGGAAAAATGAAGAATGGGGATGTTACCATAAGTAGTGAATTGAACATTTGTTGAACAATACGTTGAAGATATGTGATTAAGACAGCTAAATTTTTTTTCATACATTCTTCATGCACTTTATCATAAGTATATGTAACCTCTTGAATGATTCATCTATTTTGCACATATGTGTAAGAGATATACCAATGTGGTCCTAAATCTTTGTTGACTGTTATTTCACAAAATATAAATATAGCAAGATCCATAAGTATGCATGTGAGTGCATAATAAACAATCAGAGGACATTAAAGGAAACAAACGATATAAATTCTGTAAAACTAACTTCTGAATTCGTTCTATGAAATTTCAACTGAAATTTTACACTTTCAATACACTGTTCAACAACTGTAATCAGGCATTCAAATTCAGCATTCCATTTGATGAGAATCTCATTTGTATCAGTTATAACTTCCAACCGATTTCAAAAAAGTAAACGGGGTCAAATCAGGACAATTTTTCCAACAAAGACTAGAAAATATTTTCATTGGTGAGAATGTCAAATTTCAGTAACATTCATAACTTTTTTATTTATAATATTGCATTCAAATTGATTGTGAAGATAGGAATGCTGAATTGGTCCATTTAGACTACATTGCCTGATAAACAGTTTGTCAATCAATAACACAAAATTTCTGGAAAGTTGTAACTTAGAACACTAAAATAACGTTTCATACATCAGTGAAAACATAGAAACACAGAAAGATTGAATGTACTTAGTTAAATACTTTTATGAAAGAAAAATCGCCACCATATTGCCAACTAGGTCCAAATTCTTTATGAAAGAAGTAGCATTTATTTGTTGACATTATAGAGAAAAAATAGACCTGCTGACAACACAAATTCTGATTAAAACATCAGATTGTTTTTTTCATTCATATTGGTCTCATAATGTTTTGAAGAATCAAGAGATGTATCTCTTGTTTAAGACCAATATGAAAAAAAATTGACAGCTTGTCCAAGTGAAAAGGAATATTCAGAACTGTTGACATATCATCAAATATATCCAAATTGCTTTTTAAAATTCCAATACATTATACATCAATATACAAGTATAAAATAAAAATAGTAAAAAACATTCTAGATATTAAGGTGATTGAATTCCCAACAGGCTGCAGCCACAAGGAAAAGAATAAAATCAATAAATTGCATATTATATGAATATTAAAAAACTTACAAAAACGTTTGTACTTTCATATAAAAAATATAAATAAATACTAATATCAAGATCGAATAAATTTTATGATATTTGAATACTCTCTTATTAAATGTGGAAGAGTTATTGTTTACATTGCACGGGCATATTATTTCAATTGCTCTTCAAAAGAGTTATAAAATTCATCATTTGACCAAGTAGTTCATTGAATCCTAGTAGACATTTTTTGTGAATATGTACTCACTCAGTTATGGCACTAACAAATAAAATTAAAATGATATCAACACAAACTATTATGTTTTGACAATAACAAACACAAAATAAATGAACTCTGAAAGTAGAACTTAAAAGAGTTTCTTATATGAAATTAAAAAAAAAAAACATGAGTAATTCAAGTTTTGAAATATCATCTACTAGGCTTGTCAGTGGCAAAGTTTATCTAGAATGCTTTTTTTTCAATTATAAGCAAATAAAATACCAGGTATAATATTCACAGTACATGAGCACTGCTAATAGATTATAGAAGTTTACTCAGTGATTGAGATTCCATCATTTTTGCAATGTCAAAATAAACATGACTCAAAAATGGAAATAAAAATCTTCAATGAATAAGAAATATCAATCATTGACAAAAATCAGCTCAATATTATATTGACGCTCATATTTTATGGCGACTTTTTGAATCCTACTTTTTTAGTAGTGGCACTCTGGGTTTTCAGATTATAATGTGGAAAACCCGAGATTTCCACCAGTATATTGACTCGGCTATTAGTACAGATCACTAGAATGGTATAAGTAATGAGATTTCAGTTTTGTCCTGACATACAGCATAGAGAAAAATTTCAAGTTATCCCACATGTAAACCTCAACTTTTATTATGTTTTTGAAATATTAAAACCAACCGTTATTACTGTTGTTAACACAAACAAACAAAAAGGAAAGAAGATAATTCAACAAGATGATACCTATTCTCCTATCAACTTGAATATCAATTTTCAGATATGCAGACAAACATTGATCTAAGACTCATACCGAGTTTACGCCGTTTTGATGACCACAATTAAAAAACGCTCGGACAGATCGATTCTGATTTGGCAGAGGACACATTTTTCTGTAATTATCAGATCGTAAAGTTGAAACCTTGATGCAGAAGGAGCAAAAATTTTCGATTTTCAAATGGAACAACCTGTATTTTATTTCATGATCGTTTAGTGATTATGATTACAAATCCAACCATACCAAGTTTTATGGGAAAACTAAGTACTGTTGGTTTGTATAATCACCGATCATGGAATAAAATACAGGGTGTTCCATTTTGAAATCGAAAGTTGATGCCAGTTCCGCCTCAAAGTCTCAACTTTATTATTAGGCGGCTCGGTGGTCGAAAGCGTGAAGGCGCTGAGTTCGTATGGGGACTCCCACCGAGACATAGGTTCGAATCCTAGTTAGCTAGCCCTTGGATGTTTGTGTTTGTATGTATACCTAACCCCGCACAAGTTTCGACTTGTGGGGCGTTTGGTCCCAGTGCAAAAAAAAATTATGATGCTCACATAAAAATTTGTCCCTGTCAAATTAAAATCGACCTGCCCGAACGGTAAATTTTGATAGAAACACTGATATTTTCTGAAGCCAACCTGTGCTGTCTTCTTGTCAGAATTTTGCAGAGCTAATACGTTTTCTAGGAACCTGCAACTTGAAATCTAACCATTAAATTGCCAAAATTGCATATCAAAGTGTTTCTATTGATTATTCAAAAAAATTATTCAGAATTGGAAATCATGTCCAAATATATTAGCCACCAATCTCAATGGTATTCAACTGTTTTTTACATCGAGTCATTGTTTCTTATGTCCTTATCAATGGAGAATATGAAAATAATAAATAAAAAAAGATCATCAAATTCAATTGCTTTTCAACCTGTTTGCAGCTGGGTTCACTGAGTTATATACAAAAGTTCTAGAGGACTTTTCCATTTCAAGTATTTTTCTCGCAAAAATATTCATGTTTTTCCTGACTGCCAAGCATTCAGAAATGTGGAAGCCAAAGTAATGCTTATATTTGCAGACAATTTCCAGCTGTTAACCTCTCAAAAATTGAAAAAAAAAAAACAGAATTTTTTTTATCGCTTGGAGCGCACGAAAGGCAATCCCTATAATGTTCAAAGAACATCGTGCGTTCCTAGAATCCTAAAATCCTAAAATAATATAGATTCCCTTTCTTGTGCTGCAAAAGAGACAAAAGTTCTAGAGGACTTTTCCATTTCAAGTATTTTTCTCGCAAAAATATTCATCTTTTTCCTGACTGCCAAGCATTCAGGAATGTGGGAGCCAAATTAATGCTCATATCTGCAGACAATTTTCAGTTGTTAAACTATCAAAAGTTAAAAAAAAAACACGAAAATAATATAGATTCCCTTTCTTGTGCTGCAAGAAAGACAAAAGTTCTAGAGGACTTTTCCATTTCAAGTATTTTTCTCGCAAAAATATTCATGTTTTTCCTGACTGCAGAATTGTGGAAGCCAAAGTAATGCTTATATTTGCAGACATTTTCCAGTTTACTTCTCAAAAGTTAAAAAAAATACGAAAATCTTATAGATTCCCTTTCCTGTGCTGCAAAAGATAAAAATAATTCCTTTTTTGCGATGAGTTCTTGAATCCTTCTGTTTTTGGGGAGGGACAGTTCTTGGGTTTTGGATTCATTAAATAATTATGTTTTCATTGTATCATTTGAAACGTTCCGCCCTGGCCATAGGCTTTTTCAATTTAAATTTTTTATTTTTTACACAATATTCACTGGTCTGGAAATAATATCTATCTACTCTATTTTTTCCAGAGTAGATAGATATTATTTCCAGACCAGTGAATATTGTATAAAAAATAAAGATTGAAAAAGCCTATGGCCATAGGCGGAACGTTTCAAATGATAGAATAAAAACATAGTTATTTACTGAATCCAAAACATAAAAACTGTCCCTCTACAAAGAAAAAAGATGAAAATAATAATTCTCTGTTGGGTGTGTTGAATTCTTGTCTAGAAGTGGTACATGAAGGGATACTCAAAAAGTGAATTTTTCCATAGGCCATATGTGAGTCAGTCTGAACGATCACTGGAACATACCTTACCATCCAAATGGTGTTGCCATGGCGGTTCTCGCGCACCACTCACGCCAAAGCAATAAGTACATGCAAAACTCATCTTTAGTACACTATCACAGTCATTTTAAAACCTGGCGTATCAAGCAAAAATCGATTTTCAATTGTAAACCAGTCATGTAAATATAAATTGTATGTATATATAATATATAATACATAATTTAATAAAAATTTGTTAAAACCGTTTTGTTTCTTCATCAAAATTATCACCATCACAATATTTTAATATGGGAATAAAAAATGTCACAGCAGCTTTAAATTATCACAAGACTCCTCCAGGGGCAGATTCAGGGGGTCATGCCCCACCCTTTCGCGAAAATTCATCCTGAATTACAGTGACAAAGGAACGAAGGGCAGACAAATCTACACTTGCCACAGAAACTCGGAGACTGGAATATCAAATGCTATATACAGTGTGTCTATAATCCCTCACTCATCTCTCGACTCACTGAATATTTTTCCTATATTTGTTTTGCTTCAATGTGTTCAACGTGAAAACTACTTTTTGGTGTGAATCAAAATTCAGGACTGTCTGAAGCTGGACCATTTTAATTCTGGAACATGTCTCCATGATTGACTGATCACGTCATTGAGTGTGGAGATGAATCTAAGCATTTCTTTCAATTTTTTTTTAGAAAACAAAAGGTGAATTATTTTCTAATAGTCTGTTTCAATTTCTTCAAATTAGTTGATAAAAACAATTCGATAATCTCAACTCCACTGATTTTTTTCTAGGGATCGACCGATATAGAAATTTCAGCCGATACCGATAATCGGCCGATACCGATATTTCAAATACCGATATACCGATATATCGGTCTATCGGCCGTTAACAAGTTTTCTCTGAAGCTGGTAATATTTATGATACAAAACGTAGCAGGCTAACTCCTGATAGGGCAGAAAACTTATTGTTTTTGCATCACAACCTACCAAAACTGAATTATCAGTATTAATCAGTTATTTTTGTATTTGAGTAAGGTGAAATATTTTACCTTACAGTTGCAATCCGCATAGGGTTTTATTTTATTAATTTTTAAATACTAGTCAAAGAATTTTGTTGATTTTACGTTACATACTTTTTATTGGTAATAAAGATATATTTTTGATGGAAGTGTATTTTTTTTATCAGTTTTCAAATTGATTTTTTTCCCAATAAAAAATATATTGGTCTATCGGTTTTTTATATCGGCCGATACGATAATCGGCCAATGAGGCCGATATCACCGATAGGCCGATATAAATATCGGTATCGGTCGATCCCTAATTTTTTCCTACCTACAATCATACAGAGGTATCCACTAATCTGAATGTTAAGAATCAGAAGAAGAAATTTGTATTTCCTGTAAATATTTCATCACATTGCAAAGCACTTTTGACTATCAAGCCATCATCAATGCTATACTTGTCAAGTATTTACAACATGGTCAACATTTTAATCGATGACGTCATATGGTAAAAACGGTAGTAACTTACATTTAACAAACCAGTAACCCATTTGTTTTTTCGTTTCCAAAAATAACATACGATTTTGTTCAAGTCCGAAAGCGAACGAGGGACCCAATTGAAATCTAACAAATAACTAATTTGTTAAATGTATGTGGGTTCTTAGTACCGTTTTTAAAATTATGATGTGAATTGGAATATGGACCCTTTTGTAAATACTTGACCAGTATAGCATTGATATTGATGAAATGAACCTCTGGTGCGCTCACTCTTCATTTGTTTCGTCAGACTGGTTCTTGATATAAACAATTGAATTTCAGACGATGACGTGGGGTTCACATATCGAATGTTAGATGGCGTGATTCTTAGAACTTATGATCAACATCAGTTCTACCAACCTTGATGCGGCTAAATCGCAAAATGTATTCCCTATCTTCATTGGTCACAATTGTCACATTGATGCCTGTAATTTTGGTACGGCACCAGACTAAATTTAGCGACATTCACCCACGCCATGTTATGTTCATCGAAGTAGGCGAAAATCAAGGAATTGTAAAACAGGAAAGGATTGAAGTGCGTACACCAGAGGTTTATTTCATCAATGCATTGATGATGGCTTAATAGCCGAAAGTGCTCTATTTGATTGATCAGTTATGTACAAATCTTTACCTCAGATGATTTGTCCTGAAACAGTCCTGAAATAGTTCTACATGTGTCCCAAATTCGAGTCGGTTAAATTACGAAAGTTTCAGCAAATTCAATCGTGATTCAAAATCCGTCGAGAAAACTTGACTAGCTTCAGTTATTTCTGAGTTATTCAAGAAAAACTGATATTTTGTAGTTTCGTATTTCTCAAAAACAATTGATTGTATGGAAAGACGACTTCAAAATTATGATGGTACTTTTTAGTGAACTTTGGAATGGTTTTGTCGGTTCAAAAAAAAGAACAGGAAAAAATAAGTGGTCATATTTCAGAAAATTGATATTTTCAACAAAAACTGGAAAGTCCATTTGAAAGATCATTAAAAGGTACTATTAGAATGTTGAACTCATTTTATCATACAATCAATAATTTTCAAGATTACAAATTACTCAAGCTAATCTAGATTTCTTAATGAATTTTGAATCTCGTAATTACCCAGATCCCGATGGTGAGGATCGAATTTGGGACACACTGTATACTAATAGAATAGATTTCAATATTCATAGGAAACTAGTTTCAAAATGCCAAACTCCCAAATGTATAATCCATCAACTAGTCAAATATTTTGCAAAAATAAAAAGATAGGAATTCCACTGAGTTGTAGATGCGAAATCATTTCACTTTCGGTTCGGCGAAAATGTCTGCCAACATGGCGCCCAGTTTCAAAGAGAGAATTTCAATTCTCACCATAATACAGTCATCAAACTATCAATGAAGCAAAACAAATAACTCTCAAGAATATCCAGCTCACAGAGAGAAGCGGTACCAAACGGACTCCCTGCGTCAGACACCCGACCCGACCCCGACTCGCCCTTCCGAAACTCCCCCCGCTCCGCCCCTGGACTCCTCTCACTGAGAACCATAAAGGCTGTTCTCCCTGTTGTGGCTCCCGTTGCTCGCCAATATCGGATACGCCAGCACCGTATTCAGAAGATCATTGTGGATCTCCAGCGAGTTCGTCGCGTAATGCAACACCAGATCCTTCAGCGTCGGGTAAATGTTGTACGGCTCGGTGAATCCCAGCCCTTTGCCGGTCTCGTTGATGATGCAATGGTTCGTGCTGTCGTTGCACACCACCGAGAGCGCGTACTTGTTCATCTGCCTCGATTTTCTCACTAAAAATGTCCCGTTCGGTTTGCTTTCCAAAAGCCTCTCGGCGTCGGTGCGAGAGCAGTTGAGCATCAGCCAAGAGTGCTCGTCGTTGTGGGGCAGAGTATCGGTGTCGACCTCGCCCTCTTCAGACGGCTCTTCGATGTTCCTGTTCAACAAGGTCTGATTGAATACTGTCTGTAGGTTAATTGACAAAGAGCTATATTCATTATTCCAGATTTTTTGGGACTTTCTCTCCTTGCTTCTAGCATAAGATATCAGTATTATTTCAATATACAGAGTGACCCATTTGAAAGCGTGCCAGCTTCATACATTTTTATACAGGGTGTTTCATAATTGAATGTCAATATTCGAGGAGGCGATTCTTGGGCCCATTCTAAGAAAAACGTTTCATATGAATGTATGTCCCAAACGTCCTAACTTTTGAGATACAGGGTGGAAGTTATAATTCCAAAATACCAAATACGAAGTTCATAAACTGAGAATTGTATTTCTGAATCTGATCTAAAAAATAAAATCTATTTCCCTGCATTGTGATATTGTCATATTCACGATATGATCACGTAGTGAAGCGAAAACCGTGCATCAGATTGAAAAAATTGTTCTGATCAAATTTGCTTAGAAATGATTGGGAATTTCAGGAATGATTTCAATTTCGTGAATAATCAGTGGCGTACCATCAATGTCTGCCAAAATAGGTATGTGAAATTCCATACGAACGTCACTGGTGGCAACAAAAAAAAATGTGGTACACTAACTGATCCCTCTTGATACATAGTACATGTATGCCAAATTTCATTAGAATATCTGAAGTGGTATTACAGATATCAATAAAAAACTATCAATTTTTGAGAACTTTATCACCCTGTATCTCAAAAGTTAGGACGTTTAGGTTCATATGAAACTTTCTTCTTAGAATGGGCCCAAGAATCGCCTCCCCAAATATTGACATTTAATTATGAAACACCCTGTATACGGAGCAATTTTCACGATTTTTTTTTGTTGGAATGTAGAGGAAAAAAGGGGTATTTTGAAGCTAGACAACGTCCATTTTTTAAAAAACCAAAGCCTACTAGATCACATTAAGGGACTGAAAAATCTATAATCCATATTAGCGATTGTTTTAGAAAAAAACAGCGTACGCCACTGGAATCGGCTTCCTCTGAAATAGATCTGTACCAAGTTTTATGAGAAAATATTCAACATCAAGGCCGGTTTGAAGGAGATTGACATGACAATTGACAGATTTTCACATATTCACATATTGAGCTAGGATATTTGAGATTCTTGACAGATTTTAAAAGATGGACTTAGTGTAAATCAATGAAAAATAGTATCAGCCTCTTCTGATTCAGAAGCTACATGACACTGACACACAACGAAACCTTTTTTTTATTAATGTGTTGTATATTCCATTGCAGCATCGGTACCAGGTACCATCATAAATTCCATCAGAACTTTCTTCGATGGAATGAAAAACACACCCAACCAGACCAGTGCCTTTGTAAATAGAGCGACGACAATAGTGTCTGTCTTGTTTTCTCCATTCAGTTCTATGCATTCTGTTTCACTTCGCCAATGCTTTGTCCACATCCAACAGTCGGACATGAAACTCTATACGTCAGTACCTTGGGTTTTAACTTTTAGAATCCGTCCTCGTATGTCTCAGATTATTTAGATGAAATTAAAATATCAAATATCTGAACCTATCTTCACACGGGCACTTCGAAGTCGCAAATTCATTACTAAATACGAGAGATAGCCTTCAGATTTTTAGCTATTTAGTGACCTGACCACGAATCACATTCCGGAAACGGCAGCCATCTGGAGATCTAATGTCGTCACTCTATTTAGCCCAGTTGACGGTTTGAAGATGTGGCCAGTGTCACATTATATTTAGTTGACATCTCAAACAAGGTAAATCGCGATTTTCTCAAGTTTTGGATCGAGACTATCGATAGTGACCGTTAAAAAACGCTGTTTCTAGTGATTGTGCAATGAGTGATTCAGGGTAAGACATGTTGAAAATCGTTAATTTTTTCATTATTTTGATTATTTTCAACAAATAACATAATTTTCTCTCTCTTTTATATTTGTGGTTATGTTTCACACTTCTGGATCAATCCAAAGGCGTTCAATTAAACAAGTCCTTTTGAAAGGACGGTAGGATTATATGCAATATGGTTTTTTTGCAGGTATTGGAAAAAGCCACTAACCATGACAGAGCTCTTAGAGAAATTGGAGAATGACTCTACGTTAGACATTCCTACAGGCATTATAATTTTTCACTCTAAGTGCGATACCGATGAAGATTCTGGACCTGAAGACGCTGTAGTTCCAAATAATTTACCCGTAGTGCAACTAAAGGCACCTGCAGAAATTGTATTTGACGTGGAAGGTGATGACGACTGGGACAGTGACGACGATCTACCATTGTCCACTTTTGTTGAAAGGCGACCTAAACTCAAAGAGACGTTTGACCATACTCTCAATGAAGATTTAGATTCTACATATATGCAACCAGTACAAACTGCAAAAAGCAATCATCCCTCTGGAAATATTTACATGCTGATTTTGGATGGAAACTTGGAAGGAGAAATTGTCAATTTTAGCAATATTAATGCACAGCAAAAAAACAACAATTTCGGACAAATAAAAACACATGGGTTTGGGAGCGTTAGTTCTCCAATATGCAGATGTTTCACAGAAAATGCCTTACCCGCGCTTTCACTTATATTTTGACAATTTTTTTACTATTCTAAAGGAGCTAAAATTTTGCTAAGCAGTTTGTAAGATGAAATATTAACATATTTTCAAATCTTTATTAATTTTTCTAATAGTAGCCCTTTATCCTACCGTCCTTATGAAAGTACCGCTGGAAATGAATTTTTTATGATTTTTTCTCAACTTATTGGACATTCTATTGACAGTTTTTGAGGAAAAAATATACAAAATCGGAGGAAAAAAAAATAGTTTCACGGCCAGATGGTTTAATCTACTCACGCCTACCTGTTCAAAATCTGGTTGATCTTCGCCAGCGAGAATCCCCGTTGCTGCAGCCACCGGACGTGCTTGTCCCGCTCCTTCGCCAGTCCGTGGATGTCCGGCTTCAGCGTGGTCAGCTCCCTCTCCAACACCTTCTTGTAGGCCTCCTTCTGCTTGAGGATCTCCTCCAGCTGCTCGCAGCTCTCGGACATCAGGTCGAGCCGCTTCTTCAGCAACTCCGAGTTCATTTCGAGACTCTTGATTTCGTGCGGCTGCGCCTCGTTCTGGAACTTCTCCTGGATGGTCGTTTGCTCTTTGAACACTTGCACGAGCTCCTTGAGAGCGTCGAGGGCTTGTCTTTTCGTTTGCACTTCCGTGGACGTCTCGTTGAAATCTTTGGAAACTGTCTCCGAGACCTTGTTCTTCTCCGCTAAGTTCTTGTTGACGGTCACCATCTTTTCTACTAGCTTTTCGATATTTTCAGTCTTGGCTAGCTCCTCTTCCTGATTGTTCTTGGACACTGGGTACAGCAGCCTGATGTCCAACGAGGCGTTGTACTGCGACAAAGAGTCGTGTCTAAAGTGGTTGATGAGCTCCACTACCGAGTGGAAGGTGTAGGGCTCCGTGAATCCGTACATGCCGTTCCGATGACAGATCTTGATCAGTTTATTAGCGCCGCCTTTGCGTAGTGTAAGCGTGTATTCCCCGCACTTGCTGGAAGCATCGCGAACTAAGAAGGTACCATCCACTGTGTCATTCAGTACGTCGTTGACTTCCTCCCGTTTGATGTCCCCCCAGTACCATTCGGCGTCTTGAAGGGTGGTCATGGCATTGCTCTTCTCCTTTTCTCGCTCTACCATCGTGTGGTAGACGTTGCTGCCCATTCTGGAGACTTTTCTGGGCGGAATAGCGGGGGCGGAAGCGAATTCGGGCAGTTTTTCTCCCCAGTCACAGTAGAGCAGCAAGAGCTCCACAATGCGGTTGTGAGCTTGCGTGTTGTAGACCACTTGTCTGTGGAAAAAATGGAACGGTTTGCATCGGTATCAGCTGTCGTTATCGCGATTACTTCTAGTTACTAAGCAGGTACGCGCTCGATTCAAGGATTCAGGAGAGGCTATATCATTATCTTATCTGGATGTGCTTGTCCAAACAGATTTTATTATTATTATATGTGAAATATATTTTTATCTGCATGTTATTAATTCACTGATTATAATCTACATGCTTTTCTTTTTTGATTATTAGTTCATCAGAGAGTTTCATATATTGAATACAATAGCTCTCGATTATAATCTATATTCTCGAATAGGTAGTCATTAAACGAATATAGAACATTAGTAATTATACAGGGTGTCCCATTATTGATGGAACACAACAAAATTTGGTGCTATTCATAGAAGATTTGCAACAAATGATAACCACAAGCAGCAAAAACTGATTTCTCAGGTTGAGAACATAAGGAATAATGATCTGTTCTGAGGCAAGAAGTAGAAAAAACCTGTATAATCTACCTATGAAAATAAATGAAAGCTAATAATCTTAATTCAATCATTTATTTATTTGTCCCAATATGAATTAGAATAAAAAGAATACTTTAGACACCCAGGAGTGATGTTCCCTGATGAAAATGATCCTGAAACGTAATTTTCGTGAACAATCGCCAATCACTAGGAGTCTGGAAGTCGGTGTCTATAAAGAACACAAAAGCCGAGCAATCAACAGAGTCTACCAAATGCCAACATAAATAAAACTCCATGTCTTCATATAAGAGGAAGTGTACTGAATAGAACCGAATATATGAAAGGAAAGGGTTTGTGAATAGATTTCAGATGCTTTTTTTGAAGAATAGTAGAGAAATACAACACTATTCAAGAACATTGTTATGTTGGAAAATATTGAGGATAGATATTTCTAAAACTAACTAGGACATTTCTGCAAGAACCATTGTGCTAATCTACTCAGAAACTAATTGAATAATTTCAGAACCTGAACTAAGTTGCTAAAGGAAATGCATTGTATGCATTGCATGTAACTACATTCAATCCTGTTCAATACGCCTCTGGATTCAATTAAAAGTTTTTTGTCATTTGTAGTTGAGTATAAAATTACAATTAGAATATTCAACCACCATATTCAGAATATGAAATAAATTTAATGTGAAAACAACCCAGAAGATTGAATAAATGAAATCAATAATTGAATGGACAAACTAAAGAGCAAATGAATGTAGTAATGCCCAGTACAATCTGAAAAACCCTCTAGGAAAAAGGTTGTAGAATAACAGGAGAAAACTTCAGAATTCCAAATATCGACAGTATACAAACAGTCGGTTTTGTCCAAATATCCTATATGTTGGTCAAACAGGTAGGCTATTTTGCCACCGCATTCGGGAACATCACATAAGTTATAGGCCAAAGAAAACAAATTCCAAATACTATAACTTTAATTCAGAGAGAAGGAATGAACGGAATAATGAATAAAACATCGACTAAACGAAGCAATAAAGAAAGGAGCAGAAAAACAAACTCACATGATACGTTCCCACGGAGGCCTCAGGAATATATGGCACATGACCTGTATTAGTACGGTGGGCGGACTCTTGTTCCCTCTGGCGTGCTCTGCCTGGCAGATTCTGCACAAGTGGCCCATGATGAAGCGCAGCGTCGATCTGTGAATTTAGGGTTATGATAATTTCACTCTGATTCCAGTGAAACTTGTTATCCTGGCGAAAATATGAGAACAAACCAATTGAGTCCTTTAGGACAAGTGATGGTATCTACATTCAGATGGTTTTGCCTCAAATAAGAAAGTTTGAGTAATGAGAAATTATCTGATGAAATGAAATTAAATATTTAAACCAATTTGATGAAAAGACAATTGACTCAATCACAAAGGAATTTTACAGGTCACATCAATTCTGCATCTTTTCTACACATTATGATCAATCAAATGATTCTAATGTTGGGTTTACAGATTCAATGACACTTACAATTAGGAATTAACAATCAATAATTTAGAAGGTGTTTATACATATCTGATATTAATTAAGAATTAGATATAATGTCTTTTGATTCATGATCAAAATTATGTTGACAACAAACCATGAATCTATATAAAATATTCCAATAAAATATAACCAAACCTCACTTCAAACAATAACAAATCCTATTTTCATGTTCTGTTTTCAGGTTTTCATGATACTTAGTTGTTAAGTTGAAAGTTGACCAACTTTGTAGTTCCTTAATTTAATGGACAGATGTAAATAATGTCATAGTTTTTTGTATTCAACGTTTTGAGTTCTTAGTTGTTAGTTTGATTTTTAGTTTAGTTGAATCTATAAACCCACCATAAAGGTGAGATGCCCATACATTTGCGGTGACTACAAGCGAGTATGCGTACGTTGTATAACCTAATCTTTGAAAGAAGTGCACATCATGTGCTGTGGTAATTTTTTATACCTGCACTTTTATTGTGATACCGATACCGATTTTGAATAGAATCGAATCAAAATACAAAAGTAGCCCCGGCATTTTAGAGCCGCCTTTTTTGGTTTTTTGTCAAAAAAATTCGTGATGCATTGTTACCACAATGATGTACACCTGCCAATTCTCAAATAAATCGGACGTTTTGAGGTGAGAGTTATTTTAATACACCAAGGTAGTAAGGAATATCATTATTACTCAGGGACCAAGATTATATCCCGATGCATTAGCCGGAGGGTATATGAACCCGTGAAAATATTCTTTTCTACCAAGGTGTACATTACATTTTTTTACCACTAGCAATATATTCCGATCATATAGTTCTGTGAAACTGAAATATGAACCTATAGTCACTATGAAAGCACTTCTTCTCAGTTCTGATTGAAATCTAGTACCTAGCCAGGACCAAGACAGCATATAATGAAAAGTCGTTATTGATAAATACCCACTAGATTCCAGTGCCTTTTCTTCGAATCTCGCATCAGAACAGTGAATTCGAGTTGATTACAAAAGAGGTAGCTATGTCTTTATTGACCAGTAGTTCATGACAAAAACTACCTTGGTAGAAAAAACACTGTTTACGCCTTGAAAAGGAGTAAATAATTGTAGGTTTCATAGCTAGCGGTGGAAAATTTATTCAACTTTATTATACACCTAGGGTGAGAGGGACCTATAAAATTGCATTATCACTCGAGGTATATATATATATACTCCACTACTAACACTCGAAATTCATTTTTTTCATCAATTTAGATTTCAAATTTCCATTGAAGGAGCAATGCCATTCACAGTGTATATTCAGCATTGTTCGGCATATTACTAAAATTTTGATATATCAGGTATAGCCAAGGAGTTCAGTTGACAAACAAACTAAAAGGAAATTCGATTTGGCTGTCAGAAAATAAACGCTATAATAAAATTCCAGGTGAAATTGTGAATAAGTACAACACCAAGAGAGGATTTAAGTAACACCGCCCGGCTGTGCATGAAGTTAAGAAAGATACTGATAAATATCGCGAGTAGAGATGAAAAATATAGTATTCATCAACATGTTTTGAAATATTTAAACCTTATCAATATTGCACATGATACCATTGAACAATCATTGAACGTACATAATATATCGAATTGTATCGACCGCCATAGCTGAAATTGTTTTGATTGGTCAAAAAATGTGTCTACCGAAAATCATGGTTATTTGAATTCTTGATATAATTCACAGGACAGTGACAGCTCACATATGATTTGTGTTGTAACATTTCTAGAATTGATAGTAATAACATCATTCCAAACATTTTCCATATTTCAAAAATTGCTTTCAGTTGTAATGAGATCTGCAGTTTCCACTATATTTGGTTTTAAGAATGTTTCATTTTTCGTTGACAGCATATGCATCAATATCTATGTGTACATTGCATAATATCATTGACACTATTGACCGTTTTTTCTAACTAGATAAAATTTCTTCATCAATTCATCATTATCTACCTAGGTTTGAAAAGTGTTACTTCTCATTAGAGGTAATCCTGGAACAATAGTGATTTTTCTGGTTAGTGGTGGAAAAACATACCATACCAAGCTAACATATAAGCCTGTCAAATAAAAATGGCCCACTGCAGTAGAACAAAATCCTTCCAATCCCTTACCTGTGATGGTCCGGCAGCTCCTCGACCAGCTGCCGCAGGATGGACGTGCACTCCTCGTCGTTGCGCTTCTTCGACGCCTCCAGGAACTTGTCGTACCACTGCACCGGGATGAGCGGGTCCGGCAGCTCGCGCAGGTACTTCTTGAACACGCCGGCGATGCACACGGGGCTGACCTCGGACAGGTCCACCTAGGGGGAGCACAAAGATAAGAGTGACTTTAGATATACAAACATACAACAATCATACATGAAACTCTATACGTCGGTACCATGGATATTAACTATTACATCACGTGTGCACTACGAAGGCGCGAATTCATTACTGCAAATGAGGTCTATTGCTGCTAATTTTGATGAATTTTACAATGAAACTCTGTTATGTTGGATTGTTCTGGTTGGTCTATAGGAAAATGTAAAAACTTCACAAACGATAAGATTTTTACTAAATTCTTCAACACACGACATGTTCCGCTAACACAGGTACAATTAACTCTCAGTTCATTGTACCAGTTTACAGCGCCGGATTTAAGGGGGGGCTATGGGACTATCAGCCCCCGGCGGCCCAAGGGGTGGTAGAGAAAAAGAGAAAAGAGAAAAAGCAAGCAGCAATACAGTCGTCGCCGACGAGGCGACAAATATACTATATTGCTTCTTGCTTATGCCGCCTCTTTAGTCGCCTTTTGAAGCAAACGCGCAATTATCTACTGCTGGCAGTCGGCACCGCATCAAAAAGACTTGGTTGAGATACTGTTTTTTGAAAGAACTTAACTATAAGGAGGTCAGAACCCGAAAGAGGAGACTGGCTCTTGAAGAAGCTGACACTGAAGCTTTATTGACACCACAGACCAGAATGAGAACCCAGGTATTCCTCAAAGCAGTCGACCATTTGGTGGGTGAAGTGAATATTCGTGCTGAAGCCTACAAAGATCTCTCTTCATTAATTCATTCTCATTTTTGTTCTCTATCGCATCTCTGCCAGATGATGTCATCGTAGAAAACGCACGTGTTTTGATTGATGTACACCCAAAAATGATGTAGACGAGTCACTCGGCAATGAATGTGTTCAATTGAAATATTTCCTGAATTCTATTGATGGAAACAAGAGTGATGAAATATTCAATGCAAGATCGTTGATGGCGCTTTTGCAGGAATACAAGATCACAGATACTTTTTGCAACGTGGAAGTAGCTCTAAGAAATTTCCTATCCCTGATGATTAGTAATGCCAGTGGTGAAAAGTCATTTTCTCAACTTTAAAAAGAGTGAAAAACTACCTTAGGAATTCCATGGTAGAGGATACATTGAATAGCTTATCAATTTTGAGTATAAACTGAATTTTGATGATGCCATTGACGACTTTGCATCAAAAGAATCAAGAAAAGTATTTTAGTATTCATCTGAAAAAAAATATTTGTTGTTTGTTGTTATGTTTAACGTGTGAAGTAAATATAATTCGATTCGTTGTACATGATGATTTCATGTTATTGTTATATGCTGTAAAAAAAGCAGTGAAAGGATTATTCAAATTTAATATTTGGCGGCGGAGCGGTGGCATCCTAAAAGTTATCCCCCGGCGTAAGGGAGTATAAATCCGGCACTGCCAGTTTATCACCTGACGAAGCTACTGTGTTAGCGGAACATGTTGTGTGTTTGAGAATTTTGTGGAAATCTTATCGTTTGTGAAGTTTTTACATTTGCCATGGTTTTCCATCAAGTAACGGCCGAGTCAATTCAAAAAATCAAAAACGTGTATTTTGAAATGAGTGGGACAATCATTATAACAATAATCAACGATAATTACCCCTGTGGGATTCTCTTCCACCCTTTTCACCAGCATCTGCAGCCTGTCGGTGGGCGGCGTGGCGCTGTAGAGGTTGTACAACTCGAGCGCCTCGTTCGCCTCGGCGCGCCTCTCCAGCTCCGTGGCGCAGTTGATCAGCAACTCGGGCGCAGGCGCGTCGGCCAGCTGGAACTGACAGCACAGTCCCTGGCCGAAGAACGACTTGAAGTTGATGAAGTGGGACCTGCGCACGAACAACACACGTGTGACCACCTCGAATTCAGCGTTGCCAACTCTGAGTATTCGTTTTGTGACAAAAGATGGCACCTAGCGGATATCTACAAGATTAATAATTCAAGGTACGAGTACAATACACGCCAAAAAGATCACTTGTATAATCCGTTTAGTAATACGATAATTCATTACCCGATGAAATGAAAGGAAATGATACAAATGATACATTTTTTCAGTTTCAAAAGATCAGTAAAGGATTTCCTAGTGAAAAAAATGTTTTTATTCTATAGGGGAATATCCACAAATGTATAACATGTAAATTTTCAAGTTATTTGTGTTTGTTTTATTACCTAACTTTTATATCTACTTCACCTGTAATGACGAATCCAACACAATTTTCAATTGTCAGATGGAAAAGAAAGATATTATCATTATTATTATTATTATTAGCGGATGGTGTTTATTTTGGTGAATTTTTCCAAATGAATGGTGAAAAGGTGAAATCTGGTGGTAGAGGACCTGCATCCGAAATTCCCCTTGTTATATAGAAAATTATAATTTTAACGATGTGAAACTAGAGGTTTTTATAGAAAAACTAGTTCTATCTTAAATCAGTTTCTTATGGTTACGTCCACATTTTGGGGTTTTGTACGATCTCAAATGTTTAATTATTTCCTGTTTTATATATTATGTAACGTCATTGATGTTATGAATAATTTATTTTGTTCGTTTTGTTTTCTGTTCGACAAAAAATTTTTTTCACCAGACCTCGATCATTTTATATATTGTCAAGCCAAGATCCGTTGACCAGCTAGACTTCTATTATCTGGTGTTAACTAGTGACCTGAACTGAAGTTAAAACCACCAGAAAATCACTAGATTTACAAAAATTTTCGCCTGCGACGCATGTTTTTTTTCAATCTTATCAGCTTAGTGGTTTTTCAGGTGATATTTTGCGACTTTTAGGAATCTGAGTTGGCAACGCTGCCCCGATTCGGCTAGCCGTCAGAAGGGAACACGAATTCGTTTTGCCCGAACATGTGTTGTTTATATTTTACTCGATAGCTATCTCAGTTAATATTTGTCTTACAGCAGAAACGTTCAAATGGGCACAAATATTTTTAATGGACATTCAGAATCCATTACTATAAAATGCAAATGCATTCTATACCTAAAAATTATACATAAACTGGTGTTTTTTAAATGGAGCACCCTGTATTTTATTCTTCTAAACGGTAGAGCTCTTTCTTCTGATTTTAAATATAAATACTTTATTGAGGGCATCTTTTGTCAATTTTTGAAATATAAGCACAGATTAACTATAAGGCATGTTAGGTTAGGTTAGGTTAGACGACAATGCTGCGATTTCTGGCGTTCTACAGTTGCTCTATCGATTAGGAAAATAAACACAAGGAGTTCCATTTAAGAAAATTGAAGTTTATGTAAAAAAATTTTTAGGTTTACGATGTTTTTTTGCATTTTCTGAATGCCCAAAACAAACTTCAAATTTTCCTATTTGAAAGTTTCAGTAGGACCAATATTAAGTGAAATAGCAATTGAGTAAAATATAAACAATCACCCTGTACAGTGCATCTCATTCTGTTTGAGACTGCCGGGTTTCTCGGTTGTTATTAAAGATTGAATCTTGCGGTTTCCACGATCCAGTCAAATTTTTTCGTGAAACTGAAGATGGCCAAATCCGAATTTACATAACTGTTTCCGTTTATGAGATACAGGGTGATTTTGAAAACTCATACTTTTTGGACCCCTTCTATATTTACGAAGTTATTAGAACTCATGTTGCGATAAGAACTACGTTCAACAGGGAATCTTGAACGGGGTACTCAATTTTTTTTTTTCGAGATATGGTTTTGAAGATATGACACAAAACTTATATATTTTTCACTGGTACGCCCCGTTCTTCATAATTTCTTTGATTTTCTTATTTTTTGCCTTCGAAATAATGTATAAAACTTTATAGATAGACTTTCTGAAATGCTAAAAAAATACCAAAACATTAAATCATGATTAATTGATCATGACCATGGATTTTCCAAGTTCCACTTGAAGAATTATTTATGTGTGATTTATTATATTTTATATTGATCAGGTATTTCATTCATTTCCTATATCTATTATGAACTTTGTATCACTATTCATTTGTTGTTTTTAGATACCTACGTTTTATGATTCGCATGTATTCTCTTGTTTCGCCCAATCTGATATAAAAAATTTCACAAATTATAATTCTTCAACTGATACGTCTTTTATATGGAGAATCTACGGCCCACTAGCAAAAATTCATCATAATTTAATATTTTAGTGTTTAATTAGCATTTCCGGAAGTCCTATGGATAAAGTATTACACATCATTTTGAAGAGATAAAAATAACGAATTCAACGAGGTGATAAAATACAGGGTGTTCTCTGTAATTTTCCATAAAATATTCTTTCTGGGAAGAAGATTCATTTGGGATGAGTTAGAATAGATTGTTTCTTATGCAGAAAGGATATTTTCCTTTTCTATATTGAAATACTAGATCCTTTGGGAATCGCCTACATATTATGCTTGAGCAAAACGAATTCATGCCAGAAGTGATGCCGGTGATATATCGGTACTTCGGTAAATACAAAACACCGCTATACATGAACACGTTCTAGATGAAAAGTTCTAGACAAAAAAAGATCATGCCTAAAATACGAAAAACAAAACTTCCTAATAGAGATATGTAATCACCTGTAATTTGACTGAAGCTGTGATCCATCAATTCTTATAATGTTAATTACAATTCTTATAATGTGGTATAATTGTGGTGGCCAGGTAGCCGTGCGGACAGAGTGTCTATATTCTAATTCGCATTCGCTTGCCGGTCGTGGGTTCGATCCCCGTCGACTGCAGAAATTTTTCTGATGGCCCAAGAAAGTGTTTGGGATCACACGTTAAAAGGTAAGGCCCCCGTCATTCCTTGCTCGCACAAGACTTTCGAAGACTTTTGAGGGTTGCTCGTAAGGGGGCGACCGAATGACGGATAGAACAAATTTTAGAACAAATTTTTAGAACAAATAATAATAGAGAGTTGAAGTGTTGCCACGAACGTTAACGTTAACGTAGAAATTGACAGCTACGCATGCGCATATTTCAATTCTTCACGTTCGCGTTGGTAGTGGGCTTACGGGTGTACGTTATCTCACGTACTTTCACATATACCTTAAATATCAACGTACGTTAACCGAACCAAACTCGAAATATGCCGATGAGTCAAAATCATCAAATTCGGGATCCTTAAGGAGTTCTGCATCAGGGCAACCTTCCATTTTAACACGAATAAATGTTTTGATCTAAACAAACAACCAAAACTGACCAATACAAACCGATTACATAATTTGTTATAACGTTACGATGACAGTGACGACTTCAACTCAATTTGAAGACAATACCTGTGACAATACGTAAACGTTATTTTTCGTACTTTAACGTTTACGTGGAGGTCTACGTACAGTGATTACTTCAACTCTCTAATATTACTCAGGAATTGAAGCAACCAATGAGAGACATATTTAATGTCACGTTGAATACTAGCAGTTTAGACGCGAGTAAGAATAGAAATGTACCAATCAAAGTGGCAGAAAATCAAATGCAAATTTTCCAATTAATTCCTTGAACTTGGCTTCTATTCTGCAAAAAGGAGCAAATACAATCTCAGCAAGAACGTATTTCAACACCATATAACATCTATTTTTAGCTCGAAATTTCTTTGTTTAATATACAAACACAAAAATAGCTCCACTGAAATTGGTATTTTACTGAATTATCCCATTAGATAATATACTTGCGATATTATATTTTGATTCTAATTATTTACCTACCAGTCAAAAAACAGGAGAAGACTTACTTTAGATGATAAAATGTAAATCAATCAGTATACAGCCGCCCTTTTTTTTATTTCCACCTATTTCCTGTGATAAAAATGAGGAATTAACTAGTTTTCATTCCATGAATTTCCAACTAATTAATGAGTGCTATTCAATGAATTTTATTTTTGACTACTGCTTTCCTCCTAGGATATATGATAAGGCAATGTGTATATATGATCCTTCTTTTTCTTCCAGCTCTTATTGAAGAACCATTATCAATGAGAGCGTTTTCAACCTCATTGTAGTCACTGTTAACATTCATTGTAACAAGTAATGATAAGACTGACTGTTGTAGGATAATGACAGTTGTTTTCACGAACTTCGCAAGTCTTTCATAATGGGATGTTTTCCTAAATAACACAAGATGTCTGTTGGATATCCGTATTGTGTCTATATGTCACATATGACACATTCTGGACAAGAATAGGATGCCACATGAAGATCTAGAAGCAATCTATTGAAAAATAATGGTGAAACCTCAGCCGTGGCACTTGATATCTCCAAGGCATTCCATCGAGTCTGGCACCACAGACTCCTCGCGAAGCTTCCATCTTATGGCATGCCTTCCCGGCTATGTTCTCTGCTAGCTAGTTTTATCTCAAACAGGTCTCTCCATGTAGTGGTCGACGGAGTTTCATCTGACTCTCTTATCATAAATGCTGGTGTTCCGCAAGGATCAATTCTAGCACCAATACTATTTCTACTCCATATCAACAATTTATTGGAAGCAACTTCATGTCCAGTACACAGCTTCGCGGCTGATAGTACCCGCCATACCGCCTTCTCTTCCAGGGCTCCAATACCAGCGAGGCAAATCAGAAATGAACGAGGAAGAAATGTTGGCAACATAAATATGGACTTGGCAACAATTCTCGAATGGGGATCCAATGACTTGGTAGATTCCAATACAAACAAAACACAAGCATGCCTTTTCTCTAGAAAAGCCGATCTCACTGTACCCAACATAAGCTTGTCAGGAGTAACCATAGCTTTGAAGACATCCATTTTGATGCTTGGTATTACTATCAGCAATAACCTTGGGAAAATCGCGGAGATCAATTGCTAAAAGTGCATCCCAAAAACTTGGTTTTCTGTTTCGGGCCAGGAACTATTTCACTTCCAGTCAGCTGCTTATGATCTATAAGGCACAGATCCGACCTGTCCTGGAATACTGTTCTTATATGTGGAGTGCAGCACCCAAACATACCCTGAAACTGTTGGATTCTGTCCAAAAAAGGGCAATTTGTCTTGTGGGTGATGCCTCGCTCACAAACTCACTCACTTCTCTGGACCACCGTAGAAAAATTGGCGATCTGGCTCTATTTTATGGATATTTTCATGGACGATGTTCTACTGAAATATCAACAATTGTTCCTCCCTTGGCAGTCCCCACGAGATTAACCTATTGAGTTGAGGTTTCGCACCCCTTTGTGGTCACTTTGGAGACCTGCAGAACATCTCTTTCCAAAGACTCGTTCATCCAACGAACAGCGAGGCTATGGAACACATTACCAAGGGAGGTGTTCCCTGAGGCATATAACCTCCAGAAATTTAAGAAGAACACTAATGGGCGTGTACACCTTATTAGAACTTTTAACTCAAACCATGTTTATAATGATCCTTTTATACATAAATAATGATTGACGACATAATTCGATCGAAAAATTAACTGGAATGTTTTATTTTTGGACATAAATAATAGTACCTTCTGAAAACGGACCCTCTTATGACGTAGAAACCTCATCTCGCCATAGTAAAAAGAAAATACCAAACGCCCGACGGAGACTGAGGCAACTGATATATCAATTCTTTCAACTGTGATCTCGCGCTAATTCACTCTGTCAGAAATCATGTATCATTCATCTAGGTCTGGAATGTTCTTGTTTCAGTATTAGGGTTTTGACGTCACATCATCGCCTCGTTTTCAGAGGTCCGAAAAATCGGAGATTTCAATAATTTTTTATAAAACGTAGGGAACTCACAGCAAGAAACGGTTTGCAGTGGTGAGCTAGTTTGGGTGAGTTCTATCGAATTATGAAATAATTTTTTTTTGTGATATAAGCCCATTCCTACCTTATCTCCCTTGGTTCTCACGATGTTCTCTGAACATTACAGGATATCCTTTTTCGTGGGAACCAGAACTTGAAAAAATAATGTATGCTATGATGGTCATTACCTGTCGTCCATCGGGCGGTGCGTGCAAGACGGCAGCCCACCGGCCGAGCACGTCCGATGGGCCACCAGGCCGCAGTCCTGGCACACCAGACCCTGGTGCAGCAGCCCGCGGAGGTACTTGTTGCACTTGTCGCACCGCTCCAGCGCGCCGAAGCTGTGCTGCGCCAGGTTGTGCGCGTAGGTCGGGCCGGCGGGCGGACCGCCGGCGTCCTGCTCGCCGCCCGCCGGCGGCCGCTCGTCGGGCTTCCTGAGCAGCTCGTCGAGGCAGGTGAGGATGGCCTTCTGGTGGAACTCGTCCTTGATGCCCATGCCCTGCAAGTCATAAGGCATAGCATAGGGGTGGGATGTTTATAAAGAATACTAGCTGACCCGGAAAACGTCGGTTTGATTCATTTCCAGAAAATACTTTTTTCTGCAACCGACACAAAAGTCGTACGTTTTAATACCAAAATTAGCTCTTGAATTGACGTTTCTCTCACTCTGACACAAAAATAGGTATGTTGCTAGGCAACAGGAGCTAAAGTTGAACTTTAGTTCCTAGGAGCTAAAGTTGAACTTTAGCTCCAAGGAACTTGAAAGGATGTACTGGACGTTATTAAAAATAATAGTAGATTGTTTTATTAGGATCAAAAGTGACACTTTGTTTGACAAGCGTATTTTGCATTTGCGAGACGGAGCGTTTAGCGAAGCCGAGCGAAAGCAAAATTTGCGAGTCAAACAAAGTCACTTTTGATCCGAATGAGACATGCTATTTCTTCTGCAACCGAAACAATCAACTCAAATAAATATGTGAGGTAACCACCAATGCCGTGCCATATGTATGCAATGCAACAAATCAAAATCTATGCAAAATCCGTGTGGTGAAAATATTCTACCTGCATTAACAGCAGGTTTATTCAATTTTCAAGGATGTTCGAATTGTAGTTTCAATACAAATACAACCACAGAGTGACATATTTGTGTATGGACCAGGTGCTCTAATGGCAAATACCGCGCCAGTGCCAGGTATAGGAACAAGACGTGGAAAATGTTAGGTTGTGTTTGACTGGATAATCAAATAGAGGTAAACAATATCGTTGTTTGAGACCAAAAACTATTGCTTGCCGTGATTATTCAAAAACAAGTTATCCATCCCGAGAATAAAGAATGAAATACAGATTAAGCAAGTATGTGAATCTTGAAGGCTTCCCTGATCACAACAAAAATACTTAACTGAGATGTGTATAATTCCTATACTTAACTATAATAAGGAGTATTTATATCTCCTGCATGGGTATGAAATGCCAAATCTGCCGAAATCGGAAACAAATCAGGTATGCGTCCCAACTGTTTATTCTTGATGACGTCTAGTACATCTTTTTTAGTTCCTAGGAGCTAAAGTTCAACTTTAACTTCTAGGAACCAAATATGTTGCCTAGTATGTTGTTATTCCTTGTTGAATAGGAGTGTATGCCAGTGTGTGCCATTAGATCATTTCCATCGAGGTATATAATATAACAACCAACCTCGAGTATATACAGACAAGCTAGTGGTAGAATGGTAAGTTGTATGAACAATGGCTTGCAAGGTTGTGACCTTGGCTTATTGAGGATGATTCCGAATTTTTTTTTCTGGGTTAAGAAGAGATTTTTGAAGACTGGAAAGGTACCACACAGAATTATGCCATATATTAAACGTGATTGTATTTTGGCAAAGTAAAACATTCGGATACTATCGGTATCTATGACTTTGCGCATACATCCAAGTTGATAAATTCTGGAATTCATCACATTAATTAGGCAGTTCGAGAGTGCCAGTCTAGTGATTCATGTTCTGCTACCTGAAAATTTCATGGTATCTACTCGTTCAAGATTAGAGTTGTTTAAATGTAATGTCAGTGGGTCACCTGTCCTTTGTAGGTATATAATATCAGAACATTTGTTTTACTGAGGTTTAGATATATCTGGTTTGCCGAGAACCATGTGTACATTTTCGTAAACAGTGAATTTCATTCTTGTTGATTCTGACTGACAGTGGATTCGTTTGAGATCAAGAATAAGGAGGAGTCATCAGGGTAGATAGTGATAATAAATTAGATCAGCAATATAACAGGAAAAAAGCATAGGTGCTAGAACACTGCCTTGGGGAATCCCCATTGAGAGTTCTGTGGTAATTGAAGAAACTACAACTACATTCAAAGACATTTTCGGGAGCATGTTGATGAAAACATGTTTTATTATTTTCATCTGAAGATTTACCTCTGGGACACCCTGTATATTAGAAAGATTACTTAGTCCGTGGTATCCGTAAAATAGAGAGATATATATTTTTTTATTCTATGCAACTTATTTTGATACTTACAATCAATTTATCTCTGTCCAAATTGATCAGATCAGCACCCTTGATGTCCTTGCATCTGAATACATCCGAGTAAGTGTACAGGTTTAGGGCCGCCATCCATTCTATAACGTTAGACGAAGTCCACTCTGAAATTGGCTAAAAAAAGACAAATTTCTTTATAGAAAGAAATGGCAAATGAGGTTCAATATAGTATATTACATAACAAGAGTTGTGCGAACTGCGGTACAACTGGAGTCGTGCACGATACTTTTTCTACGACTAATCTCATCTCTATGATTCAGTATATCTATGCAATAATAACTATGTAATCGATGTGATCGATGATATTATTATCAACTGATGAGAAAAGAATGCCAAGTATTGACGTTAAACTGAAATTGGGTACCATAGCTTGCGGCTATAAATCTATGCGAACCCTTCATTTTACGCACGATATGCGTCAGGACATATATTTATTTTTACAATACTGTACCTAGTCGTAGAAATAAATTTCATACAATCCTAACCTATCTGTTAATTACGTGGAAGCAATTATAAATTTGAAATGTTCCATAATAAAAAAGATAATTTAGAGTACTGATGTAAACAAACCGGGCAAAACACTATAATAATGATTATTATCACATAAAAACACAACATTAGACGAATCTAAAAAAAATGTAATCATAAAACAATGCCTACCTAAAAGATCGAAGACAGATATTGCATATAATTAATTATTCTTCGAATCCATGAATCAGTTTAACTAGGCATTCAAAAAGTTCACTCTACTGATAAAATAAAGTATGGATATACAGGGTGTTTATTAATGGTGCGACCAAAATAATTCAAGGGGTTGTTCCTCAAACTATTCTACAGTTTGTTTTTTGATAAACTTTGAAAATCCGCTTCTTTAGGAGATACATGGCGAAAAATAAGCTAGGATTCAAGAATCCGATCTTCCTCATCGACTGCCGAATTATTTGAAAAACACCCATAGGAAATAATTCAAGGAGTTTAACCCCGGAATCTTCGAAACAAAGGAGCTTGGGAAGGAAGTTTTCAAAAATTATTAGAATAGTCCAAGGAACAACCCATTGATTATTTGTACAAGTCAAGAAATGTCATGAAATTTTCGATTAGGCCAGTCAGGCCATTGTCGAGGCCGACATTTTTTTCAAAATATTTCTTCTTTGGTTGGGTCTACATTTTTTTATACGACAATTCCAAATTTGCATTTTTATGTTCAACGGTTCAAAAAATGACCAAGAGTGGATGGCAACTGTAGCTGCCATCATGTTTTCCATGAACTATGTATATATACGGTATGCAATAATCGATGGGAAGTATGATGGGAAATTCTCAGTCAGGGGTAGGTCGCGCGAGCTTAGTCGCAAAAATAGATCAATTCAAATTAATAAACAACCTATCTATAAATAAAGTAACTAAGAGACATAACTAGAATGAACGACTGATAGGTCAGTACTTTTTAAAAATATCCTAGACAACAACTGAACCAAATAACGAGGACCATTATTAAATAGGAACATACAGAGTGTGTCACATTCCATGCTTGATTTTGAGGTGAAAAGCGCCTATCAATTCATGCAAAAGTGCGCACAAATCATGATTTCACTCATATTTTCGCTTAAATGTAAAAGTTCCCGAAATATTCCTCCACGAAACAAAGGATACATATTATATAATATATAGGTAATATTCTCTTTATGCCTTAATCTTATGATGCTTGATAATTTTCTCAACCACCTGGACGAATTCTGACTCGCCCTGTATTTTTTCTTCGGTTCACGAAAGTTATGGTCTGGTCAGATTCACTGCTGGGGAATGAATCGAGCTCCAAAATTTGTATGAGGTGATAATAAAAAGAGAGCAATAGGTACGTTCTATATTTTTATATGAGCGTCCGTATTTTTTAAGAAACATTCAATGAAGTACATCACTTTTGAATAACTTTCCAAATGTCAACAACTTCAAAAATTTGGTTCGTAACAAATGGTAAGTATATAAATTAATTGACAATTTGACATTATGACAGCGAAAAAGTTTTCCAGCGACAAAACAGAACCTAACATTTGAAACCATGGTTAATTCTTTCAACTGTGACCATGACAACCAGTATGTGAACGAATCTTGATTGCGTTCATGTAGTACAGGGTGTCCTACTTAAATATGTCCGTGTCACCCCCTTTATCCTCGTAATTTATTTTAGTAATTCAAAAACTTTTCTGGAATATTTTTTGACAAATTTCATGATTCTGTGCTTACTTTTTATTTATATCAACAAATTACAGGGTGACTCAAGATTTTTTTTCCAAATGAAATGATCCATATTTTTTCCATGATTCGAAGCCTGTCAATCTGAATTCAAAAGTATATATCATTCATATGTATTATCGAATAAAATTTAGATCATTCCATATGAAAACACTTTTTTCCTTTAGCCACCCTGTATTTCGTTGAAATAAAGAAAAAATGAACACAGATTGGAAATATTCGTGAGAAAATATTCCAGAAACGTTTTCGAATGGCCAAAATATGTTTAGAAATACGAGGATAAAGTGGGGTGACACATTTAGGTGGGACATCCTGTACATTTTTCTCAATCTTGTGCTGTCAGAAAAGTAACTCTGTGGAAATTTACCAACCGAATTACCCTCAAGATTTTTTTTGGTCGAAGTAAACTTGAAACTTATAATTATCCGTGTTTTCTTGCTTTTATAGGAAATTGAACTCCAGAAATTTTTTTTTCGTTCATTTTCCAGGAAACAATATTTTCACTAAAATGCCAAGTGAAAAACATCAACTAGGTATAAAAAATGACACTGATACTTTGCCAATGACCCACTAGGTTTTTTTCTCAATATAGCTATTATTGACGTACAGTATTCTTCAGAGAATATGTCGTACGTAGCAAGTGACATATTTTCTGAAGAAAACTGTACGTATCAATCGAGAATTATTACTTATCCTACAAAAGTTTCCATTTGTGAAAACGATATTATCAATTGCTCATTATTGAAATCATGAAATCAACAGAATAATAGAAATGGTAAAACTAGGGAAATTAAGAATATACTTACCTAGGCGAGAGCACGCGAGAGTTTGCTACACAACAATTTTTGATCTTCAATAGGTACCAACCTGTTACGTACTGACATATAAAAGTGGAAACAGACATGACAAAACAGCAAATCTGCCAATCCGATCCCCAAAAAGGGCCACAAAAAGAACAAAGGGATGACGAAAACGAACAAAGGGTTCGAACTAAAGATTGGAAAACTTCCGAGCTAGTTTTCCATCATGGTAAGCGATGCCTAATCAAATACCTAGGCGCTCACTAGGTAGGTACGATGGTACAAGAAATCGAAGATTTCAAAATGTAATTATTATTACCTCTACTAAGAGCTCGGAGAAATCGGTCTTCCGGTCTTATATTTCGGCAAAGCAAATACGGACGGACTAGGGATAGGGACTATCCCTGCCTCCCCCCCGAATCCTGGCTGCTCACCCCTCGTCGAGGTATCACATCAGAACACTTCTGTGACGCGCCGTTGCCACATCCACCAGAACTAGGTCACCCGAAAGCGAACTCCGAACTCGAAAATGATAGAATTCGAATGCAGCGGCACGTTGTGAAAAGGACCACGAAACGACAGCTCACGGCTTACAGCACTGGGCCTGGACCGCTGCCACTTTATTTCGAATGGAAATGAATATACCCGTACCCAAACCGGCCGAGATCGAGTTCTTATCTTCCTAATAATTCGTCTAACGCAATAATCCGAAAAAGAAATATACCTACACTCGCAGTGCTAGAACAGAAATGTGAAAACTGGTTATGCGATGCGGCTGTGAACTAGAGTCTAGGGCCAGCACCTTCTGAGGAGGCGAATTTACCCGAACGCCGACAGCGGACACCTCAGCCATCGAACATCATCTTACTGAAAGTTGAGAACGATCGATATTCTTTTTTGTAATAAGGAAAACACAAATTTCAAAGTCAGTCGACCACACTTTATATAAAAGATTAAAAAACAGTGACCGGTTCAACAATACATTTTTTTGTCAATCTAGTGGCTTGGTTATGGGTAGCAACCTATCTCCCTTACTAGCGGAGATTTTCATGAACAATTTTGAAAAACAATTCTTGAACAATACTGCTTTCAATTCTAGATTGATCTATTACTACAGATATTATGTAGATGATTGTTTATTACTGTTTGATGGTCCCTTACTTTTCTTCACAGAGCTCTCTCTTCTTTACTTTCGTAATCTATAAGGTTGCTGAATTGAGACCATCTGTCATTTGCCATTATCTTTGGTTCCATGATGTTCGTGCCTCATATGTCAGTATGTCAGCCTGTCATGTCAATTGTTTGTTTTTTCATTCTTTGAATCAATTTCTTCCAGTCAACATGTGACTTTTTGAATTTAGATAAAAAACATAAGTTTTTTTCGATGTTCAATTTGATTAGGGCCAGATTTTTCTGGCTCTTCAGCCGTTTTAAAAGAAATATTACTTTTACGTGACTTCTTGGCCTAATGACTTTTTTGATTTTGTAAAATCTTCTGATGGTTTTAATGTTACTATTGTAAGTTTTTGTATCATAGTGACTATTTCACTGTTTTTTAATCTTTTATATAAAGTGTGGTCGACTGACTTTGAAATTTGTGTTTTTCTTTTTAATATACATTGGACCACTTAGAGTATGGATGATTTCTACAATAATTTATTCTTTTTTGTACCTACAGTGTCACTCGTAATTAAAGGTGACTGAAGTTCGTTCTTGTATTACTCATATTATTGCCAATAAATATGAAAAATTTCATAACAGAATTTAGTCTATTTCAGGTCTGTTTAAATTTGTTTTTTAGATTTTAGCCCATCTTCACATCATCTAATCTGATAATCGAACCTATATGTACTTACCTATGTAGGCAATGATACAAGGACCACAGCTTATTTAGCTGTGACCAGAAGACTAACCAAGAAATATTTTTGAAACAAGTTCACAGAAAAATGATGATGAGGATAGGGGATACAAAACAGTTGAGTGCTGAAGTTCTTATTCACGATTCATAATATGAACTTTCTTTTGGCATTCCGTGTATTCATTAGATTTTTACTCGATTTT